GATAGATTTTTTAAATTTGGTTCTCTAGTAATTGATGTCTAATCCCTGCTCTCACCTCCTCTCTCTCTCTCTCTCTCTCTTTTTCTTTATAATTTTTATTATTTTTTATATATCAAATCATTTTTTTTTATTTTGTTTAGTGTATCAGTTTTGATATTATATACCTATCACCACCAATTATATTTTCTCTTTATTTTTTTAGTTTTTAATAAGAATAATTTTATTTTTTATGTTATATTTATCTATGTCTTTTAGGTATATTTATTTTTATTTTGTTCGAGTATTTTAGTTAGGTTTTTCAACATTTTCTTTCTTTGATTCTTGTGTGATCTAGTTGACTAATTTTTATATACATAATCATAATAAAATGTTCTAATTAAAATTCACTTTACATTTGTGGTTATTATACTCATTTTTTATAAAACAAGACGCTTTCTATAAATTTGATTGCGAATGGGAATAGTTTAAAAGAATTTATAATTTTGGATGGGTCTAGGGAATATGATGGAATTAGATCTCTCACCTAAATAAAGGAGTTTGCGATGGAACGCACACATGAATCAAATATATATAAAAAAATATTATCTGATTGAGAATAAATTACCTGATATAAATTATATTTGTGTCTTCATATTTCATAAATGGTAACTGTTGTTCTTGTAGTAGATCTAAATTATCATTTTCGTCTCTATCGTATTTTCGCATCAATTTAGCTTCAAAGTTGTTCAATTGTATCATTCTATATTCTACCTCTAACTTAAACACTAAACTCTACCTTAGGATTTATAATTTAGGATTCTACGTTAGGGGTAAGATATATAATGATGCAATTAAACAATTTTGAATATTAAATTGATGCGAAAATACGATAAAGACGAAAATGATAATTTGAATCTACTATAAAGGCAAAGGTGGCCTTAAATCAAATTATCTAGCTTTGTAAATAGATTTTTTTTCATTTACCATATTTTTGACGGTTTTACGTAAGATTTAACTTGGAAAATTTTGATGTCCTGAGTTTGCTTTCCGTGGTTAGTTGAGGAATACATAAAATATTCCGTAAGCATGAGCGGTTCACAACGCAACGCAATGCTTGTTAACCATTTTTAAGAGGACGGTGGATTTTTATTTGGTATGTAGCTGATTTTGTCCAAAGAGTTTGTATCTTACATATGCATTGGGTGTACCAATGTGTCTTGCTGGCGTCAGTTGGTTGGTACAATTTATGAGTAGCTAGCACAACTCTGCCTCCGTGTTTATAAAGCTCCATTTATCCAAAAAAGTATATATATTTTTTCATACTTCAAAAGAAGTTAAATCTTAAAAGCAGCGAATTTGATGAATTTGCGAATTTAGAAATAACACTTCATTCATAGTGATGTTAATGCAAATTTAATATGAAATCTGGTCGAGCTTAATTGATGATGAAGGAATCTATGAAACTCCTAATTACTTTAGAGCACCACATTAGCATGCAAATTTCATTAGAAAAAAACATGTCAAAAATACTAAAATTGTTGATGCAAATTTAAAATGAGGTTTAAAGGTTAACATTTCAGTTCATTGCATCATAATCATCCAACTTCTCATTGTTTTCCAACCCCTTCCTGCGTATCTTGGATGTGTCTACCCATGTAATGAAGTCTTCCATGTTCCTTGTTACGAGGAATGCCGGGTCTGTCACTGTGTCTGGACCAACTCGAATATGTCCCTGCTCAATATACGTGACTGCTTCCTTCAAGTGCTCTGCAAACTTTAGGTGCACCAACACGGTTGAGAGCCTAAGCCTGCAAGCAGATAATGTAACAGAGTAACCATATGAAATAAAGCAAAGCACACCAACCACTTCCGTGTATTGTCATAATAATTATGCCCAAAAGATTAATTCTTGCAGTGGAAGAAATTTCTGGTCAAATTAACAGTCATATGAGCATTCAATGTCAATTGATTTTGCATTTACACCAGTATTTTCTTACCTGCAGAATGATGACACCGATAACCGATCACGTAGGGCCAAGCTTTTCCTGGTTGGTATTACGCCCATATTGTATCTGCCAATGGTTGGGAAATGACATAAGTCTTCTGTTTAAGAGATGGTGTGCCAATCCATGCATTTAAACAAAAACTCAAGCCAACAATTTTGAAATCTCACATCTTCATCCAATAACAAGCATGTATACGTAAATCGAATAATAAAATTTATAAGCGATGGTGAAGGTGAAGCATAATGATCAGAACATAAATATAAATTCATTTCTAAACACAGAGCATAGTCAGAAAGGCAGCGCATGCGCATCATAGATTTTAAACCACATTCTTAGGACTTACTAATGTGTAGGGTTAATCCTACATTCTTAGAAAACTCCTTTTATTTTTCCATTTTCATACAATGTTTAGAGATGGGAATCTTTATCTATATTCCCTTTCCTTTTTCACTCTCATCCCCATTCTGCGTGTTCTATCATACAAGTTAACAACACGAATTTGAGCAGTCTATAAATCTCAACTTAATAAGTTTTTGATTAAATTTCAACTTAATGAAGAAAATGCCCACAGTTTTTCTAACAGCATATCAGTCATCTGGATTCGGGAAGGGTCTCGGGGATCCATCTGCTTCACAATATTCACCAACTTCTGCACCATCCGGCACAAGCTCGAATATTAAAGATGAAGAATGAAAATTACTTACTTGTTATAATCGTCACGACCAGTGACATGATAACGATGCATAAGGAGATTCTCTCGGTGCACCCCCCCTCCTCTCTTTTCCATTCTAAAAGGTTCACTTTCAACAGCTTCTTCGACCCACAGCGTCTGCTTTAACTATTTTATCCCATTTTCCTCATTTACGTATTCTAGTAGTACTTAACAATTTAGTTTCTCCAGCTATCAAATTCATCACCAATTTTTCATTTATAATTTATTTATCTCATTGTTTGTACATAAATTTTAATATAACCCTATACAATAAAAAGTCTGATAAAATTAATAAGAAATCAACAAATAAGTAAATTAACACTACGAGCTAAACACCCAAATATCAGTTCCACTTCCGAGCTTAACCATAAGCTAAACATCTCATGTATTCATCAATCTTAGCAGCTCAACGATGAGTAGTTCCTCAATGGGAACACATCAAGAAATAGCATTAACCCATGAGCACCAATCTGTCAAGAAGGAACTACGGAAAGGGGGGGAATACCATCAGCAAATCATACCTTGTCAACAAGTACAGGTATGAACATAAGAACTAATGGTCAATTAAAACTACAAGTGTTTGTTGGACAAATAGACACTCTCTTGGAACCACAAACAAGTCAGGTATTATATAGGGCATGTTCGAATATTACCATGCTTAGAATGACTGACTCGGGGAATTTTGACACCTCATATCCACATTATTTTGACTCATCGATAAAATTAACATGTTAAGAATCCTAACATATCAAACCAAGCAGATAATAGGTAATAAAATAGGCATAGGAAAAAGGACCTTACCAGTTTGAAAGTCAAACTCATAAGGCTAAGTAAAATTCAAGAAGTGAGAAGTGGAACGTGGCATGTTACAACCACAATGACCGCACTTTGACTCCATCAAAAATATTGTTTTTTTTATAAGCCCTGTCATTCATTTTGTGTTCTCGTACTTTTTCTATTTATCTAAAAATCTGTCTTTTTTCCTAAAGTATAAGTTTGTTGATGGATTGCAGCCTGAATGGACGGCACCTGAAGTTTTAAGGAATGAACCAGCCGATGATAAGTGTCTTTAACGCCGTGATAGCTTGCATATCTTTGACATCTCTTCTGTTCCTTAAACAAATCGACTGGGTTGGCTTGCACACGTGACTTATGAGATTTGGTTACTTTACAGATTCCCTGGGAACTGGAAATGTTTGAACCCTATGCATGTTGTTTGAAGCTGTTGAATTCTAGAATAGGCGTCCAGAAATTCGCAAACATGTTGATCCAATGATCGCACATATTATACGTAGATGTTGGCAAATGTGAGTTTTAGACATCATTTTGTCTTCAATAATAGGGGTAGCCATTGGCCAAGTTGCATTTAGGGATGTGTCGTTCAGCGAAATCATTGGAAACCAGCAAAAGCTGTTGTGTACGGTGGAAAGGGTGATTAATTGTTGAGGTAATTGAAGACATTCTTTATGGAAGACAAAACAAGCAAATGAAGCTAGCATCTTCTATTGGGTTTATCTAAACAAACGCTAAAAGCCTCCGAGATAGAATGTCTAGATCGATTAATGGAAAACAAAGGATGTTCATGGGCAGCATGGACGGTTTAAATGATTTTTCCGGCAGTGTCTCGTGGAAGCAAAGCGCAATTAATATAATATCAAGTTAAGATTCACAAGGACAATGATAGAGAAATCCCTTAACCGTTATCCAACGAAAGCTGAAACAAGCTCATCGTTCTGATGTTGAAGTTGTGAACGAAGAAGAAAACAAATATTGGGACGGTGAACTTCTCTTTGCTGAGAGTACTTCCACACATTTCTTGTACCGGTGGTGTCTCCTTGAATAGCAATGGATGGTTATGACTCATGTGGTGAAGCTATGCCATGTTCCTTTCTGCGTCTCTCCAATGGTCCAATTTTTTTTCACTCACCAACTCTCAATATAGTATAAAATTGGTTAAAATTATTAAACATCCCACATGGAAATGGACTTAGTTTCACATTGTTGCTGTCGCTATTTAAAAGATGAGAAGGAAAGGTTGCAAAATAAGAGAGGGAACTTAAAAAAAATTATTTTTGATGGAGTCAAAGTGGGTCAACATGAACCTAATGTGCAACATTAGCATTCTGTTACCCAAATATTGAGGATTAACAATAAATGACCAATTTATTAAGTTGATCACCAAACCTTTACTTACGAGTTACGAAACATAAGTGGGGAAAGAAGCAAAATAGTCTTCATTCTCGGGTATTAAGAACAACAAATGGCTTTCCAGGCCAAACCACAAAATCAACGACACAACCGCATAACAAAATAAAGACAACATACTCATATTGTCAAATTCAACTCCAAAATGCCGTTTCTGATACAGTACAAGTCTAATTCAAGCATAAAAGAAAAATAAAAAATGTAAACGATCACTTGCTAGGATTTTAACAGACAAAAGGCTCTTAATCAAATAGGGAGAATCCCATATCATCATCATCACTCTCCTCTTGCTCTTCCTTTTTCTCCTCAGTGGCAGGAGTCTCTGCAGCAGCGGTGGCACCTCCAGCAGAAGTTGCAGCTCCACCTCCATCTCCAATGAAGCCTCCTCCTCCACCGCCGCCAATAACAACCTGTCGCCATTTGACATTAGAAACAGCATGGGACATAAAGGAGCGTCCAGCAAATGCATCAAAAACAAATAAGAAACCGACGATATTCACCACCCAACCATCAAAATAACAATACCAATCTGACATTCGGAGTCATATTTCATTATTTTGTTTTTCCAACCGACCTCATAACTAATCAATCATATGATGTAAACAAAGAAAGGGGTAAAAAAAGGGGGGAAACCTGGTAAACAGCAGAACTAGGGGTGACGACGGAGAAAGAGGATGTGACACTAGACTCCCATCGTTTTCTCTTTCTCTCCTACACCGACGCAACGTGCAAATTATGGCGGAGACGGCTAAAACTCGGCTCAAATCATCTATTTGTAGTCATCATATCCTGAAAATACCCTAAACTTTTAGTTCTTCGAATTTCTACTTTCTCCCTGTATAGTTTCATTAATACCTAAAATGTCCTCCTCCCCGAATTTATCAACCATGTTTGAAGATAAAAACAAAATTAGTACTAACTATAAGGAGATTTTTGTCCTTTAAGTGAAATTTCTCTTTCAAAATTGTAAATTTATATGGCTCTTATTATACTCCGTGACGTATCTAAAAATATTAAATTTTGTATGAATTAGATACCGATAGAATTTTAAGATGGACATATTAGTAAAATGAATAATAAATATAAAAATATCAGATTTCAAATATACATGCATCCGCCGATGCTTATACTATTTTAAGGATATTTTTCTAAACTTAAAAAATAATCTTACTTTTCAAGAAGTTTCTTATAAAATATTTTGAGATGTGAAAGTATTCATCAGAGTTAGGCTTGTAAATAAGACGAGACATATCGTGAGTTATTTGAGATCGATTCAATCAAAACTCAATAAATACTCCATTCGAATGGACTCGACTCGAGTTCTTAACGAACCAAAACAAGTTACTTGATACTTGACTCGAAATTCTCGTGAGCAACTCGAAAATTATATTATATTAAGACTTTATTTTTTAAAATAAATTATTAATAATATTAACATTTATGTGTTGAGTTTTTTTAAAATGCAATATAAAGTTTTCATGTATTTAAGGTTTATGTTCGAATTTGAGAGTTCAATCGAATTTAGTTTAAGATTTTTTTTTCATTTCAAGCTTTTACGAGCTTCAGTTCATGATTTCAAGTTCAAATCGAGCTTAAAAACGTTAAGCTCGTAAATTTTCGAGTCGAGTCAAACTCAACAATACTCGAACTTGACTCAGCTTGTTTAAAGCCCTAGTCAGAGCTGGAAAAGTAGACGGAATTACATGTATCTATAATTCCATTGCAATCACCAGTTTGTTAATTTGGATTATGGTTAGGGTTTGCATATAAACCTTATTTCATTTGTATTAACAAAATAATAAAACAAAGGCTGTCGTTTCATAAAGGAAGCAAGATGGATTATGTAAAATAGAATGTAAAATGTAAATGAAATTTATTATTAAAATATTATAATTTTCTTTAATTTTATGCAGTGCCATGTGATTTGTTAACATAACTGTTATGTTTACATAGAACAACAAAATAACATATGTAGTGGGCAAAAATCTGTAGACAGTCTGAAACTTTTCGGCGAGCTTAAGTACTGAACTATCCAAAATTATGCAAAAAAGAGAGGAAAGAAAATAACAAGAATCACCAACTCCGGTGAGCAGGCAGTACTCTTAATAATGCAGACTGCACATAAGTGAGGATAAGTTCTCGGTTGCAAAACTACAACAGCAGACATACTTTCTTTGAACCTCTTTACTCGATCCAGCTAAACAATCTAGCAGTGGGGTCTGATACTAGCCGGCTTTGAAAGCATACATGAGTTTTCTTACTTCTTCTGACGATTCAGAAAGAACATGGTCGACATAGAGACATACCCCAGCACCGCTGCAAGTTCATCTTCCGTGTAAGGAGCTGATAAGAATTCTGAGAGAAGGAAGAAAGACCGGAAAATAGACATACCATAAGGGCCCGAGTGGAAGCCAGATAACATCCCAACGGAATTTTGGCATTCTAACATGCAATTAGCATTCCATCAATTAGCATGTGACGGGACATAAGATATATAGAACATCCACATTGATGAATCAAAGAATAAACTCAAGCAAAACAAAGATCCCCCCAAAAAAATATTAACTGCAAAAGGAAATAAATGGAAAAGACATATATGAATCAACTTTCATGCATGAAAAATGCAACTCAGAGACTGGAATCCAATCGTTTGAACACAATACAATTGCATCTGATTAAACAAGACTGGAATCCAACGTTTGAATGTGCTGACCACGCATTACTTCATTTCAATCCTCCTTGAATCACATCAATTCCCTTCCTTATAACCTGAAACTGCTTTGATACATGTATTTCAATGTTTCATAGAATCCAACACAATTGTATCTGATTAAAAACGACTGGAATCCAGCGTTTGAATGCGCTGACCATGTATTACTTCATTTCAATCCCCCTTAAATAGCATCAATTTCCCACTTCCTCATAACCAGAAACTGTTTTGAGTACTTCTATCTCAACGTGGCATAGAAATCAACGCAGTTGTATCTGATTAAAAATCGACTGGAATCCAATGTTTGACTGGAGTTGGCCATGCATTACTTCACTTCATTCCCCGCTAAACTACATCAATTCACCTCCAACCCACTCACCAAAAAAAAAGAAAGAAATCACCCTAAATTAAAAACCATTGATTGCTAATAAAAATTTCCATCTCAAGAGCACCAATACAGATTTTTTTTTTGAGATGAACCAATACATATAATGAGAATCAAATATGGGAATTAAAAGTCAGATGTACCTCAGCAGATGATATATCCAGAAAATTGCAAGCACAAGATCAAGAGAGCATGAATACCGTTTCCACTTTTTGTGATCCTTTGAATAACTGAATAGACCCATAATGGCCATTGAACAAGCCAATATAGCTACCCAGTCTGTCAACATATATAAACATAGTAAATTTACCATATATAACAGTTACAAAAACCATATCAGATATGTTGAATGTAATAAGGAATGAAAAATATGTGCAATGACTAGCAATTTAAGAAAATACTATCAAACAAAATGCCTAAATTCCAACAAAAGAATAACCAAAATCAGGATTTTTGAAATCAACTGACTGCTATTTCTGAGGAACTATAAACAAAATGTACCAGGCATATCAATCCAACCAATGAAGATAAGCAAGCAATCAAACCTGAAGTTATTATCATCCATGAATCAACATAGTCCTTGAAGTAAGCATGATACCGCTGTTAACCAAAGTGCAACGTGTTATTTTTTATGATTGTAATAAGAAAATAGAAAATATATGGTGTACAACCCACCAATGGGTTCACAGAATGAATACAGTTTTAAAGTAAAGTGCATTATGGAGTTTGACGCTATCCAGTAACATTAGCAATCTATAATCATACTCGTGAATATGATCTGAAATTGTGATAACGAACCAACTCCTCTTGTTCTGTATTTTTAAAAAAAAGGCTTTTTCTCATAATTATTAGTCACATTAGCAGATTTGATAACCGGAGGAAAGCTAACGGAGAGAGAAAAATACCGTTGATTTCCATCGGACGATCTTCGTCGACGGTTGGGAGACGGAACTTTTCATCTTCAGAATTTTGAAACTGTCTGGCCAGCTTCTTCATTTCTACGGCCGAAAGGACAAAGATGTTGAACTTGAATCTCGAAAGGCAGCCGTACGATGCCGTTTCATACTCCAATCTTCAACACTTTTTTATAAGGCTCTATTAGGACTTTTATATGGTCCATATTCAATCAACCGGGCCCAAATGCTCTATATAAACGTACCAAAACCTTAAACAATGATCTTCCTTGCATGTTCTCTGCTCGCCGCTAGCAGCTCCACAGCCAAAGAGAAGTACTTTTGCAATTAGTCGCTATGGGTAAATCTTCATTACTTTGCATCTCTTCTTATACTTATGTTTTTGTTCTTGTGTTGGATAATTTTGAATCGTGTCGATGATTTTAGGTAAGGTTCATGGATCTTTAGCTCGTGCTGGTAAGGTGAGAGGCCAAACTCCTAAAGTGGCAAAGCAAGACAAGAAGAAGAAGCCCCGTGGCCGCGCTTACAAGCGGATGCAATACAACCGCCGCTTCGTTACAGCAGGTGATTTTTTTTCCTTTTTGGTTTTTGATAATTAACTTGGATAATCACCGAAACTAAATATGAATGTGAAGTAATTTGCTTTGCTTGTTGGTTTTTACAGTGGTTGGGTTTGGCAAAAAGAGGGGACCTAACTCATCTGAGAAGTAAGCGGGCTCTGTAGGTGAAGAAGGCAAGAAGCTTTAATGGAATTTAAGTCTTTGTTTTGTTTCGATAATGTTTTTATGGTGCCAGTTTTTAGCTACTGGTTTCAATGATCGGATTGAACTTTCATGTTGTTTGCTAGAGATGATGTGAATTTGTTATCAATTATCTAAATTTTTGCTTTACCATGGGTTTCAATTCCTCTCATGCATGCTGAACTAATTGTTCCATTCAGTGTTGGAACCACTTCATTCTAGTTATTAGGACCAAAAGGGGAATGGACTACTATCATAAGAATTTTGATACTGACATAATGAATGGTTTTGGTTTTTGAATAATTGATTTCTCACTTGATAGATTTAAGTTTTTATTAGTTATTGTGTTGCCTGTTTTATTCCACTTGAAGGATTCAAGTAAAGTCATGAGTTGCTTTTGAATTAATTATTTTGTGGTACTGCATGCAATGCTATCATGCTGCTCAATCCTCCTACGGTGTAGATAATGGTAGAAAGGTGATTCCGTCATGGATGGATGATTGTACAACAAGCTTCATCTATAAATTGAAGCTGGCCGTCTCAAGTTTGCAAATGAAACCTCCAACAATAAGCCTCAAATTTAACGTCATCCTCCCCATACGATTTGCTCCGATGAGGATCTTCCCCAACAAAACAAGAACACAAACAATCCAACATTGTTTTGGTTAATTGCTGGGAAGGGATTGGTTAGGGTCCTTAGCTTGTCAACATTGTTGGAAATTAGTGAAATCCTTTTTTATACAAGATTCTTGACTCTCCCAGTAACAATCCCATAGGCTACGAGGTTTTTACCTACCTTTAATTAAGTTTGTTTGGCTTCCAAGTGGAGATAGCACAAGCAAGTGAAAAGATGATTTGTGATTTCATGCGGAAAAGATGATTTGTGAAAAGTTGAAAAGTGATCAAAGTTGAAAAGTTGTAATAATTGTGGCCAATAGAGTAGTTTATCCAAGTAGTTTTCGGGCGAGATGACTGAGCCATTAGTTTCATCTCATATTTTCATTACTTTAAAAATGTAACTTTTATGCGAAGGTCTAAGATAATCAGACTGATTGGAAGAACAGAATCGAAAAAACAACGGTATTTGCTGCGAACAAAACAATGAAGGCAAATAAATGAAAAATAGGCTGATAATCAACCTGGATTCTACTGCCAGAAGAAGAAACCAAAGAGCAATGACTAGCATACTTGTAATTGATTTACAATTAACCAGAACTCCACTACCTACTTATGTGTGCTGCCATGATCGTCACTCAAAATGTTTATATGATCATTCAATTTACCTTGCATATTTACCAGGAAAGAAAAGCATTCCCCGTCGAGAAAATTGCCAAAAAAAAAAATTGGCATTTTTCTTCGTTTATCCATAAAAGTTCAAACAAGTGTCAGATGACAACATTGTCGTTTGAAGCATTTAGATTTCCAACAATGGTATGGCTCAATCTATGTAAATTCATAATTGTTTGGATGAGACTTACAACTAATACCTTCTTGACGTCAGAAAAGTTTTATCTGCTCGAAGTTCATCATGAGAACTTCCTTCTGGTTCTGAAGCATCTTTGGGTAGATTTTCCAAGAGCTACGATGTCACCAATGATGCGTGTAGAGCTGCGCCATATGGAAATACATCTTCATTAACTCCATAGTAGGGTGAGTGCCCCCCCGGTTGAGGTGGTCCCTGAGTTTCATTCTTCATTCCAAGAAAGAAAAAAAAGTCCTGGAATCGTCTCTGAAAAGAATGCAAAGTCCTCTCCTCCCATCTCAACTTCTGCTTCTACAACATTCTGAATACCCAACATTTCCCCTGCAACCTGTCTGAAACGTTCATGTAACTCTTTGTTATTGAAGAGCACAGGGTATGTGGACTTTTCATCGAAGGTCACTTTTGCCTTGCATCTCTGCACACTTGCTTGCTTTGTAATAACCTGCAACTTTGCATTGCAAGTTAACATCCAACACGAAGTAAATAGAGAACCCCTCCAAAACACCAGTGCAGAAGGGGAAAAGATAAATGACAAGAGAAGGTGTAGAATCATCTTAAGCTTCCAACCAGCAGTTCTTGTTATCAAAAACAAAGACAGATTGGATGTAAGAAACAACAGTACCTCCTCAATCCTCTGTGTGAGTTGAGCAAAGCTTTCTTTCGAAAATGCCCTAAAAGTGCCACCTATGGTCACAGAATCTGGAATGACGTTAAATGCTCCACCTCCTTGGAATTTTCCAACGGTAACCACCTGCGACAAATTTATATTTTCTTTAAGCTAGTTAAATATAAATACATCTTCAAGTCACGAAGAAAGTATCTCAAATTCACACAAGCATCTTCAGCAGAAAACATATATGACCATAAGAAATAGAAATGAAATCTGCAACGATTTTGAACAGAAGTTAAATCTATTTAACAGCGCAATTTATAAGTGAAATGTAATTGCTTTGGGGAAAGGAAAAAAAAGAAAAAAAAGTTCCACCACACCAGACCATGAATTGAACTACAGTAAACTTGCCAACAGGTTATGTATATCGACCATGTTTAAAGTAAAAATGTTTGTATCCATTACAGATTGTAGGAGATGTTACCTTGAGATTACACATTTCAATGGAGTTTGTTGAATGATTCAACAAAGGTTTCCAGGTGACATTATCGGCACTTTTCCAATTAGCAGGGAGCAAATGGATTAATGGAACCCATACAGAGAAAACTAAAGCTAACACTGACTTTTTCAAAAAATAAAAAATAAAGCTAACACTAACTGTTGGGGCGATTGACCAAAGGACACAGATTACCTGAGAATCCAAGGGATCAGCTTCACGTGAAACTAGATGTTGCAAACTAACAATCACATTGGAGGTTGCTAAAATTGGGTCTACTGTGTGCTGAGGAAGAGCATTATGTCCCCCCTTTCCATTTATGCAGCCTCAAAGAAACTGGTTGCAGCTAAAAGCGGGCCAGGACGGGATACCACAACACCAAATGGGTGTCTAATAGATACATGGAGTGCAAAGATGGCATCAGCATCATCTAAAGCTCCAGCATTCAACATTTGTTTGGCTCCCCCACCTCCTTCTTCAGCCGGTTGAAAGATAAGAACAACTGTTCCCTATTAAACAAAATTAGCTAATTGTTTTTACCAAAAAAATATTTAAGGGTTTTAAAGCATCGACCAAAAAATAGTTAAGGTGCTTAAAGTGGTTACATATATTAGTTTAAGTACCTAGTTTGACCAAAAATAGTTTAGTTACCTAAATCAAAAAGGTACCATAGTTAATATTTTTAGTTTAAGCCTTATAAATATTGAATTTAAACCATATAAATTATTGATACATTATTAAAAGTTAAAGATTGTTTCAATTATTTTTATTTAAGTTTGGATGTATTTTTCTTATTAATGTGATACTATAATTTTTAGATGTTTTTGTAAAATTGTTTTAAACTTCTAAATAAAAGTCAAATGCTTGAATCACATTATTTAATAAAAAAATATTTACATTGTTTGATAATTAATTTTTTAGATCTCGAAAATTATAAATTTTTTTATTTTACAAATATAATCACGATTAATAAATAATTAATTATAAAATAATTCGATGAATGAAAAGTTTAAAAAATAATTTTTAATTTTAAAAACAACTTATTTTCATATGTTTTTTAAAAAACTATTTTTTTTTGAAATTATTACTTAAAGTGTTAAAAATATCAAAATGAAATTTTAGTTATGATTGAGGGTTGAAATAAAATATTTTTTTATTAATTTAGTATGGCATGTCATCTCATTAATAATATTTCATTGTCGCTACCTATTTTTATTAAAAAATCAAAGTTTAACGTCTATTTTATAATTTTTAAAAATCTAATGATAAACAAAATCATTTTAATAAATTTAATAACCATTTATGAATTTTGCCACACTCTTATATTAGTGGTGCATATAGATGTACGTTATTATTGGTGCACATTGATGTATGTCACTATCTCTAGACTTATCCTATATTTGAATATATGTTGCTAAAAAGAGTAGTAAAATTCTAGAGAGAGAAAAAATGCACCGACATGTTTCGGTTGAGAATTAATTTGGAAGAATGCATACAACTTGAAACATGTTTTGTTGCCTCATGAGATTAGTTGGTTGTAGAGTGGACAAAAAAGGGCAGCTTCTTCATTTGTTGTTTTTAGGTAAAACAGATTATGTGGTTAAAAGTAAAAACCTAACCCTAAGTTTGGTTTGGTAGGGGTCATCAATCACAAACCCAGAAGAAGCCGAATGGTTGAAGTACTCCTCTTTCTGGCCTGACCCTCACCATCATTCCTAGAGCTTCCAAAATAATTACTACTCAAGTTCTTCCCAAGGAAAGAGAAAGAGGCTAATATAGTTTGTTGTTTTAATGGGGGATGGCCATGGGGTGTGTTTTGAGACTCTCAACGTCGCGTCTCAGTTACCTGTACAATATAGTGTCACGTTGTGTTGTTGGAAAGACAGCATAAAATGAAAGCGAAAACAAAGAAAAAGAAAAGGCTGATCTCTTCTCACAAATAGGAGCAAATACCTAAACCCAAATATCCATGCACCAAAATCATCATCTTTATGCGCCCTTCTTATCAAGTTTACCCTATATTGTTTTATTGTTTCAAGACACTTGTATAATTTCCTTTATTTATTTTTTGTTTTCATTTCAAAGAAATATAATGCAGATTACCAAAATTACTTTGTTCATTGTATGCTCTTGTACAATATACGGAAGAAATATTAACAGTCGACTGATACATTTTACTATATATATATATATATATAATATTTTACATAATCGTCGAGAGCCTGACACCGATTAAGCAAACCATTGAATAATAATAAAATATTTGTAAAACATCATCACCATCATATAATAACCTTCTCATGGCATGGTCAAATAACAATTCAGTTCTCCTATTGTTGCTTGTAATATTACTAATGTTTGGCTAATGAAAAGTAAATGTACTTTTGCTATTATATTTATCCCCTTGGATTCGAGCTTTTGCTTCTGTATATTGCACCAGTATTATGCTTAGCAAGTGAAATGAACTTGTCACCCCACAGTTGACACTCGCAAAGACGGAGAAATAAAGTGAAATATTAGAGAGAGTAAGGTGCATGTCATGGGACGTGCTGTGTAGTTAAGACTCTTCCCTGTTAAAACATACCTAATTGGTTGTTGTTAGGAAAGATTGTTGCGCAATTCATGCATAAATGAATAATTTAATCCAAGACATGGCACCAGTCCACTAGCTCAGTTTTTATGTCCAACAAATATATAATAATACAAGGCAGTGCTTTATATTACATTATACATGCTTATATAAGCCCCTTTTCCCCTCTAATATATATATATTATGAAAATGAGGACCCTCGGCCACCAATGAGGGTTCAGGGAGTAGTGTTAAAATTCCACGTTTTTTAGGCGAAGAAAACAAAGCTCTCATCACAATATTGTGAGAGTGAAGATGTGATGGATAAAATAGTTGGTGCTTGTAGTATACTATACCCTTCGAGTATTTTTCCTAGCCAGAATCTGACCATGATGAAGTTTCCTTCTCTCTGTCTCTCTATTTTTACTTGTTCAATGTCCAAACCTCTTCGGATAGTTCTTGATGGTATGACACAGAAAAATATCAATCTATCCATCCAACAAGACCTGATGTTAGTTTCTTGGTTCTTCCATTTCCCTTTGAGGGACCTGTGTTGGAAATAGGGCTGTAAATGAGACGAGACAGATCGCGAGCTACTTGAAATTGAGTCGATCAAAGCTCGATAAATACTCGGATCGAATGGACTCGACTCGAGCTTGACTCGAGTTCTTAACGAGCCGAAACGAGCTACTCGATATTCGACTCGAAAAGCTCGTGAGCAGCTCGAAAATATAATATATTAAGATTTTATTTTTTTAGAAATAAATTATTAATAATATTAATATTTATGTATTGATTTTTTTATAAAAAAAAATACAGTAAGATTTCTTGTATTTAAGGTTCATGTTCGAATTTGAGTTTGAGGCTTCAATCGAGTTAAGTTTATTAATTTTTTTTCATTTCGAGCCTTTTCGAGCTGCTTACGAGCTTCAGTTTAGGATTTCGAGTTCGAGTCGAGCTTGAAAATTTTAAGCTCGCGAGTTTTCGAGTCGAGTCGAGCTTCATTTCAAAGTTTTCGAGTCGAGTCGAGCTCAGCAATACTCGAGCTCGGCTCGTTTACACCCCTAGTTGGAAATGCAGGCTAATTGTCTAGTTGGTTTCACTGAAAACTGTTTAACAAAAGAAACTAGTTCAGAAAGTAGCTAAAAACAGGGGATCGGGCTATTTCTTACCATTAATGCATGATGTATAGATGGATATATAAGATAGTGCAGGGGATGTATCATCGATACGCATCTTATACACATCTAGCTTTCTTGGTTTTATGGGTTTCTTTCTGTTTCACACTAACTGGAACTGATATTTTATAATCCATACTTGTTTCCATTTACTGTACAAGCAACGTTCAACAGTGTTGGTGAAGGAACAAAAGACTCAGCAAGCGCGTGCTTCAGATAGCCTCCCACTCACAGATCCAGAAACACCAGAAACTTTTAATGATGCAAAAAAGCACGATAGTCTAGCTATAATGGGCCTGGCTCTCACCATTCTGGGCATAACCACAAGCTCCTTCCCACTGATATTATCAAAAGTACTATGATAGCCTTCAAGATCTGCTTTTGTAATCATAACTGCATCCGCTGATGGTGAGTTTCTTGTAGCTGGCTGTTGATGCCTGCTGTACTCCAAAACTGCCTGCTCAAAACCATTTACAAGCAAGTAATAAACGAGAGGGAAGAAACACACTTCACTCATGCTTGAGAGGAGATATTATTGTTTGCAATAACAGAAAGGCGCAATTCATGCATGATCTACAACTAAAACTGACAGACACACACAGTCACTAGTGGCAATGAAAAAACAATGAAAAAGAGGTCTCCGTTCCTATAGTATCATCTTCACTGTCATTCTTTTTTATGCCTATCATGTGGACAGAAAGGGGCGAGAAACATGCAAAAAGTATGCAGGGTTTCGAAGAGTTGCTTATACACTGCAGAAGATAACACCATCGAACTTACCTTCCATTGACAGGGGGCAAGCAAAACTCTAGGCCTTCGAGACTGAACATATTCAAGAGCACCTGCGGGTGTCATGTGCTTATGCTCTACCTGCAGAGTTTAAACAAATTAAATCTCGTACAAACTAAATTCAAATCTGGAGCTAGGCCCTTAGATGTTTCTGACCAACAGTTAGTCAACAAAGCTCTATGCATAGACAGAAAATACCAAGTAGCAAAGAACAATGGTGGTACTTCTTCCTCGTCCAGCTTTACAATGTACATAGGTGGCTCTACCACAAGATGCATTCTCTGCAGACAAAAACGGAGGGGGAGAAGAAAAAAATTGGGTGAGACTGCCACCCTGTATAACAGAGTTGGAGATAGTTAAAAGAATCATCTACTCACTATGAATGAAGCTCACAGCTTTGCTTATATCGGAAATCGAAGGAGCAAATAAATAATCTCTCGTTGGAATTACTAGATGATCAATCCCATGAGCCTGCAACAAACCATAAAACCAATAAAACTAAATATCAATACCCAAGAAAATTAAGCTACTTTTGATGCATTCTGACCAATTACAAAAGTTTAGGAAATCATTTAGCATTTCCCATTTTTCATCTCCATGCTTACTCTCTAATAGATATGATAAACAAAAACAAAGTCAATCCGATTTGCAAACTGTTATTAAATTCTTTATTTAATAAAACATGTTCAGAAGCAAAGAAAGAAAAACTTACACGATATAAAGAAGTGGAAACCAGAGTTTCAAAAGGTTCATTGAGAGTGATCACACCATCAACGCCCAATTGCTTCAACCGTCGAACATCCTTCGGAAACGGGACCGCTCCCAGCAAAAGAAACTGAGATATAATTAAAAAAACTCTCATTGCAAAAACAGAGAAAAAACAAGGATCCGATTTTCGCTTTTCGGACGTCAGTTCCTAATCGGCCAGCAAAGGAAGAAATATTGATTTGGGATTTAATTGCTATGAAAGAAATGATTGATGAAGAATGGAAATCAAGGATGAGATAAAATAGAAACCTGGTCAACTTCGTCCCACCATCTGAATTCAGATTGGAATTTGTTTCTGAAAACATTGTATAAAAGGGTCGGGTAAAACAGGATCCGAGCACCTGCTCCGACTAGAACTCTCTTTGCGTCGTCGGCTTTAACTATCTGCAGTTGCTTAACGCCGTCGTTTCCCCGATCATTCTCGGGGTTATCCAATTCCTCGATCTTCATCTCACGAGAAGCAGAAATTGGATTTTTTTTTTTAATTCAGATGGGAAACAATTTCTCAGAATTGGGAAAATGGAAATTAATGAGAAAAATCGAGGAGATCGCAAAAGATTGGATACGAGAGAGCGTGGAATTCACTTCGGTACGAATAATAATTAAAAGGGTTAACTACATAATTTATCACTTATATTTACATTTTGTCTAATTTTCCTCACAAATTTTAAAAAAAATATTCGTTTTTATCCAGTTCCTAATCGAATGATATCATGTGTCATTGACACCGTGTGTTGTGTTATGTGTCATCATTCGATTGAAGAGATAACTTTAATATTAAATATACTTTGGAAAAGTTAAAATAATAATAAAATATATTAAATTAAAATAAAATAAAATTAGTCCTTTAATCGAATTGTGACATGGCATGACGCGTGACACTAGTGACATGCTATCATTCAATTGGAGAATTACATTTATTTTAATTTATTAAAAATATGATTAAATCAACGAATACATAAATGATGAGACCAAATGTGTGATTATTCCAAAAATATTTTAACGATCAACAGAAAAAATGAACAAAATACAAATATAAATAATCAATCATATAGTTAATCCTAATTAAAAAAAAATAGAGGAGAAAAACGATTAGATTGTTCAATCTATTTATTTATTTATTTATACATGCATTGCATTTCATCTTTATTTTTAATTTTCTGACTGCCGGAGGCCTTTCACGGAAGATGCACTCAACCTGACGTTGAAGGCAACCTACTACCGTACCTCCCCTTACCCCATTACATATTATAATAAGGTTTGTTGTTATTGATAAATAATTAAACTCAGCTTTATAGTTTCGTTTAATATTTATTGTCCTTTTCTTATAATTAAATATTTAAATTGAATTTTTTTGTTAAAATTAAATTATTTCTGATGACGGCGCTAACAGTAGTTCATTGGCTTTGGTTTAACATATTTTTGGAAGAGTCATGAAAAACCACAATCCCAACTTGTTTTTGATTGCAATTGAGACAACATTTGAATAAGTCAAAATATTGATTTCGCATTCTCATTATAGTTGTTGATCCACCAAAAAGAAAATCACATGAATTAAAATGTTTCAAATTTTATTAAAAGAAACGTAATTAGGATGGGATTTTAAACACCAAAATATATAATGACCCAAATGCCATGCAATCTTAACTTTGACCCTTCCAACATGACCTATGATCTTCACCTCTCCTTTTTGCTCATCTTTCAAACCTTATCCCTTACTCGTATTTTCCACCCCAAATTTGGAGACCGACTGCCAAGTATTTATTCCAAATCATGTTCTCCATTGAAATACGTAATGTATGAAAGATATCGGAAGGTGTCTATATATTTTGAATACGTAATGTTTAAATCTCATTTATGAATATGATCATCCCTATTTCCATGTTGATAACATGTATTTTTCGGTTTTCGGAATAGTTGTTTATAATTTAAAATGGATTTTATTGTATGGTTTCAGGCTTGTCTGAAATAGTATTTGTGTTGTTGGAGCTTGGGCTGAACCGTGACCTGCAAAGCCGAAAAGGGTTATGGACCTAGGACTTTGAGACTTAAGTGGAGATGTTGAATCTCATCATCTTGATATATTGTACCACTCGGCTTTCTTTAATGTTTGGGCCCTTGGGCTCTCTTCTCTGGTTTTTACCCTAATTTTTTAACACACATATATATATATATATATTTGGATGTCAATGAATATTGTATAAGTAATTGAAATTTAGGAATTTGAGATTATATGATTAAGTTTGAATCTTATTACCGTCACTCTTAGTAGATAATCTATAAATTCTTAAGTAAATTCTAATTAGGTATTAAGTATGACATAGTCCTGGACGGGGAGAACCACCATGATCTTAACATTTTTGTACTATATATGACTTCCAAATTTACATCCTTTATGATTATCATTCGATTTGTTATTTGATGTACAATTATTTAATAGAATAATTTTATAAACAATTTTAAGATAATGATAAATGTTTCAAAATACATTTAATTTTAAAAAAATGAAAAATAGAATAGTGTTCATAGTTTTAAGATTATTTGTAAAATTATATTTTTCATCATATCCTATCAATTCAATTTTAATCATAACTATTATATTTAGTTTTCTTTTCAATTATCAAGAGAATTATCTCATAACATTATTATTATTATTATTATTATTATTATTATTGGGTAATTTGTAGGGCTAATTTCTTTTTTCGTAGGGCAATTTTCAATTCAAGTTTGGTATGAGACTTTTAATGATATATCACAATCATAACTTTAATATCACATGTAATTCAATTAATTACATTACTTTATTGAATTTATCTAAAGAAATTAAAAGATAATTAATAGAATGTGGGCAATAGGAGACGTGAAGAGTGAACAAAAATTGTAGGAGAGAGTTTGCTAAAATAAAGGCGGACCTGACAGGTAGTAACGAAAACAAGCAAAATGAAGTCATTAAAATCTCAACTTTTTCAATGCCCTATCTTTGCTTCCTTATTAATCGTCTCCTAACTTATCACCATTATTATATCTCATTTCAATCTCCCCGTTTCTCTCATTAATCCCTTTGAGTGGTATAATGTTTTTTTTTATCAATCTCAGTAAGTAAGAGTCAATATCTCTTTAAAGACAACTTTTAATCTTTTAGCATTTAATGTTTACACCCGTATTTATGGTGTTCAAACCTGGATCCTCTAAGAATAACATCACTTACTTTACCACGAAAACTACTTGATTCGTAATATATATAATGTTTAAATATTACCACATTTTTTAAACATTAAACCCTAAACTTAAATTTTAATCTCTAAGTTTTAATCATTAAATTATAAACTCTAAATACTACTCTAATGATCACTAAAATTTTAAAATATTTTATTTGGGTCACCAATTATAGCCATTAAACTTTTAACTCACTTTTATTATAATAAATATTATTAAAGAAGTTGTTGTGCACGTTAAACCGTTAAGATTTCTTTCAAATTGATAGTCATTGTTCCTCCTTTCTCCATCATTTCTATTGTTTGATGATTTTTTCTGTAAAAAGATTATCAAACTACTATTTTTCTTCTTTTTATCTTTCTTTCTTTCCCTTCAAACTCATTGAAAAAAATCTTTTAATCCCTCCAATTCTCAACCGAAACTAAACGAAAGAATTTTGATCTACCACTACCGACCTTTGAATCAACTTGAAATTGAACCATATTAATCTTATGATCAAATGAAATCTTATATTCATCGAAAACTCGCCAAGACTATGATTGATGGTTTATGTGTTCTCTTCCTTATTTTTTTCTTTTTTTTTGGCTATTGTTTATTGTATGTTGTTATTAACGGTTGTGAATGATGATCAGGAGCACGTCGATAAAAATGACAACACAACAAAATAACGAGAACGGGTTTTTATTTTTTTTAAAAAAGTTTGTTTTCTCTTGTTATTTAATATTTCATATTAAAATTTTAACGACATCTAATGGTAATTATTACAATAAAAAATAAAAGTTTATTAATTATATTGTAAGCTTTAAAAGTTTGATGATTAAATTAAAAAACTTCCTAAAAGTTTAATGATCATCAACCTGATTTATCCTAAAATGTATAGGAATGACCTAACTAAATGGTCACTAATGTTTGGGTAAGTGTTCGTTTTCATCATTGATGTTTGAAAAGTCTCAAATCGGTCACTAACATTATCGTTTGTTACAAATGGTCACTCGTCGTTAACAACCGTTATTGTGGGTGACAGAAAGTTGATATGGCATGTTAATATGATTTTTTGACATAGTTTGACCATTATTTTGACCTACCCTTCTCTTCCATCTCCACTCTCTCATCTTCATACTTTTTTGTAACTCAAAATCTACCATTTTTTAGATGAATAAGGGGCTCTCTTGCACAAACAAAGAATGCAACTAAACAAAGCCCTTGGCTTTGACTATTTACCATGGAATTGAATGAATGAGGGTGAATAGTGAGCCGTGAAACGCTCTATGCTTCTTCTTTGTTTAAGCCCTTGTTTTTGTTTAGTTCCATTCCTTGTTTGTGCAAAAAAGCCTCCCATTCATCCAAAAATGGTGGATGTTGAGTTACAAAAAAGTATGAAGATGAGAGAGTGAAGTTGGAGTGTCAAAAAATCATATTAACTTGTCACATCAGCTTTCCGTCACCCACAGTAACGGTTGTTAACGTTTAGTGATCATTTTGTAAAAGATAACGTTAGTGACCGATTTGTGACTTTTCAAACATCAATGATGAAAATGAACACTTATACAAACAGTAGTGACCACTGGCGTAGTTTACCCAAAGATAAATTAAATGTTAAAAAATAAAGAATTTATTGTCTATGGAAGGAAAAAAGTTGGGAATTGGGATGGGGAAGAGGTGGGGCATGAATAATAAAGAAATAATATATGGGATATCATTTTCTAGAATTAGATACGAATGGACCCCAAAACCAGATGGATTACAAAGCAAGTTGAGCACTACATGGACCATACATTGGGTGTGACGGGAGGAATATACATCATTCCAGCATTATCAATTAATTTAATTAAATAAATATTAAACCTTTTAAATGAATTTAATTGATTTTTTCATATTACAAAAAAATTTAAAAGCATTTATATTAAATCAATATAAACTAAATATCAGTAATTAAAAAGAAATCTATAATTGAATTCAACCAAACCAAAACATCTATCCTTCGGACAGTGACGCCAGATCTTTTTACAATTTTTCAAAATTTTAAAATACATATATTTTTTAAAGTCGGATGAAAATATGGGTGTGCATTATCGGATATCAGATATTAATCGATCCGAATTTTCGGATATCCGAAAATTTCAGATACCTAAAGTAATGATTCGTATCCGATCCGAAAAAATCGGATATCCGAATATCCGGATCGAAATCCAATTTTAGTCCTCCACGCCAATCCTTCCCAAGTTTACTCGACATGAATGACCTATGGATTTATTTGCAACAGTTGTATCTAGCCTTCATACCTCACAACAATAGAAATAGTTGTAAGTCGATCATACACAACATCGAAGAGATTGGGATCTCCTTTAATGCTCAAAATATTAGAAGGGATTTAAATGGCGAAAGATGGTTTCATTGGGATAAGAGAGGGACCAATGGAGATAATATGGTTTCAGTAGTTGGATCAGTTATTATGCTTATTATCTCTGGTTTCGAGCAAATCTCCATTAAGCACCATACTCGAACTACTAATCCTGTTATTACTCTGTACCCCTGATATCAGCAAAAACAATATCATGGTCATTTAAAAAAATATATGCACCATAACGAAACACTGATATTGGTGAGAAAAAAAATGAATAAAGACACCTTAGGTCGAAAATCTAATATTTCATCTTATGCGGCGAGTACAAATAGAAAAATTCAGTTATTGAAAATGTTTGGTTTCAATTAGAAAAGTAAGCTTGATTTGGCAAAAAGATAGATTATTTGTGGATAAAAAATACTCACTGGTAGACGAAATTCTGCAGCCTGTTGAAGAATAGATAGGAAAAGACCCTGCAAATGGTTCCAAATGCTGCCAGCAGAGCTCCACAACTCCTCCCAAACCACAACAGCTCTTTATCTAAAATAGCTAAAAAAAAATCAGATTTTCAGATAATCCGAAAATTATTTTTTATCGATCCGATAATCTAAAAATTAAAAAAATAGATTGAATATCAGATTTTTCGGATCGGATTAACGGATCGGTCGGATCGGATTTTTTTGCACACCTCTATATGAAAATAGGTTATATATAATTTAAAATCTATAATTGATCTTTCTTCCCCTCTTTTTCCTTTAATCATTTGCAGCTTAGCTGTTTTTGTTTGCCACAACTCTTTCCACCTGCTTTTTGATAGATTAAATGATATACCTTAAAATTATTATTCTACTCTCAAACTAATATTTATCTTTTTTGCAAATTGTTTCTTAATAAAATCAAATAATTTCAATCGACGCTTATATTTTTATTATATAGACAATATAAAATTATTTTACATAATAGATATATTTTAACTATAAATCTTGGGATTCTTCTTGTTTTGGAGAGGTTTATGATGATTTTTGTATTGATTCCCTTGTAAATGATTTCATTTGATAATAAAATTCGAGATATTCTTTTTCTAATTCCTGACTTTTCGGATAATTTTATAGTATTTAAAAAAATGAAAGAATGGAAGATTTTTAATGAGACATCTAATACTTATAAAAACAAAAATTAAGAGAGAGAAAAAAAGGAATTTGTAATATTTGTATAATTAGAAAGAAGGAAAAAAAAGAAATTAGTGTAGCGGATCTCGTTGTTTTGACGCTATATCTGGGGGTCTGTGGCATAGCTCAGCTTTGCCTTTGTACGTTCAGCCATTACAGAAAAAACTTACCCAAAGAAGAAGTGAAGGGAAGGAATCGATAGGAAGGAGAAGATGTCGTGGCAAACGTACGTAGACGAGCACTTGATGTGTGAAATCGAAGGCAACACTCTCTCTGCCGCCGCCATCATCGGCCAAGACGGCAGCGTTTGGGCCCAGAGCTCCAATTTCCCTCAGGTCCTTTTCTTCTTCTTTCAAATTCTTCCTCTTTACTCCGGAATAGTTGAGTGAAGAGATCTGATTCTTATGATTGAATTCTCTTCTGCTTGATGTATTAGCTGATCTGATTTGCTCCGTGAGGATTATATTTGTTCACTCCTTGCTGAAACCAAAACTTGTGTCTTTTTCCTCTTCTTCAAAGTTCCAACTTCTGTTTTTGGCTATGGTTTATTAGTTTATGTTCTTTGCTGTATTGAAAGATTTGCCTTTTCACGCCTGGAAACCAGAATATTCCTTATGATTTCTGGGTTTGTTTCTATTTATTAGTTTTATAAGGATTAATCATCAGTTGAATAAAATGAAATAAGCTTTGCTAATGGATCTTTGCAAATAACCATGATATCAGCAATGATGATAAAGGTAATGAGAGAGGGAAATATTTCGGGCTAATCCCGTTTATTCGATTGTAAAGGTTCTTTTATTTTTTAAACAACGAAGGGTTATGCTTTTGCTTTTTTTCTCTTTTCTGATAAGCATATTCTTAATGTTTCTTGGTTCTATGTTGATTCAGTTCAAGCCGGAAGAAATCACTGCCATCACGCATGACTTTGTTGAACCAGGATCACTTGCCCCGACCGGATTGTACCTTGGTGGCACAAAGTACATGGTGATCCAAGGTGAACCCGGAGCTGTTATTCGAGGGAAAAAGGTGATGTTGTACATTTCTTCCAATTTATATTTTGTTTAAAACATTGAAAAATCTCATGCCCACATGCATTTTTTACACTGTGTTCAATGCAAAGAGATTCATCAATTATGCATTTTGTTACTAGTGTAATTTTAATACATAGCGCACCTAAGAAAAGTGTTAATCTACTTGGTTTATGGCACTACAAAATAGCATATATAATTGGTTTGTGTTCCCTAACCCTGAGATTCCTTAGGTAGTGTATTTTCCCCATATAGAGATACCTTGGGGAAGGAGGAATATACAGTCACTACTGCATAACTTTTCGTACTTTTGGTTGTATGGTGTGCATTCTGAGCCTTTTGTCATTTTAATTTCAGGGGCCTGGAGGTGTTACTGTTAAAAAGACCAACCTAGCCTTGATCATCGGGATCTATGATGAGCCAATGACTCCGGGCCAGTGCAACATGATTGTTGAAAGGCTCGGTGATTATCTCATTGACCAGGCACTTTAGTTTATTTGTTGTGCCTTGATTGTTGCATTTCTTCTTGGCTTCCTTTTCTATAAGAAATATCTGCCACCTCTTGTGGTAATGGTTTGATGCAGCTAAAATAACAGTATTACAAGTATTAAAAGTCATGAGGAACCCTTTTTCCAGAAACAATAGGCTTGATGTTTGTAATAGTGATATTGTGATCCCCTTGCTTTGTTTCTTTACTTGTTTGATGGATGGTATTGTCAAGATTGTGGAGTGAGGTACTTCTGTCTACATTTACAATGAATTTTCTACTGGATTTGGTAAATTAGACCGCCAAGTTTTTCCGTCTAATATTATGTTTTCTGCTTTAAATCCGACCGGAAGACCTTAACATCAATGTTGTTCATACTTTTTATATTTCTTGAACTAGCATTAACAAAACAGGATACAGTGAGGAGAATGCTGGGGGGGGGGGAGTGGTGCATTCTCATTATTCAGTGTAAACTTAGAGTCGACCTTCTCAACATTCTTTGAAATGATGCACATAACACACAGCATAACTTCAAACAGAAAGGAACTAAAAACCATTGGAAAGAAACTACCAAGCCCGTGATCACACCTGGTCGTATTACCTGCTTCAGTTTTGCTATTCCTGCATGATAATCACAAGAATTACCTTAGTAACATTAGCTTAGCTCATGGGATCACCCATAAAACAAGGACATAGTACATGAGAAATTTCAGAATTTGTACTTACAATGATAGATGCAATTACCATAGCCTGCACAAATAAATTGAACATATAAGTATTTCCAGGCAAGCAAGATTACAACGTTGGAGCTTTTTATACTTCAAAAAAACTTGGCCAACTATGTGCTAGCTTAAAGATGAACTAAATAAAAGGTAATTGAACAATTACAGGCGAGTTGAGCTGAAACAATATAGACTTACTGGGATCCTTATCAACTTTGATTGCATTTCCTCGAAAACTGCAGGAAGCATCATTAGCCCCGTTTTTCTGGTAGTAATTGTTGAATGCAAAAGAGGCATGAGAAAGTAGAGTATTCGGCTCAAAACATTGCTGGTTAGGCTGAATTGATGAACAATCAGCTTTTCCAGGACCACAAGCCCAATCTAATGCATTCTGCAACTCCGTTCGAGACACCTGTTTAGAAGCAACGCACCAAGTTCTTCCGTTTGGATCGCTGCTTTTTACTGCAAAAAAAAATCCCAGTTTCTCTAACGGAATCAAATGTAAGAGTAGATACTGTTACGGCACATGAGACGTTTCAGAGCCTGTACTTACCGTTATAGATGCAATTACCATGGCCTGCACGAATAATACAAAAATAAACATAATGGGAAAGTTATTAGACTGAAAATTCATGCGAACTTGTAATAATCAGATTCTGCATAAAGTAATTGACTTACTAGGGTCCCTATAAACTTTGATCCCGGTTCCTCCAAAAATACATGCTTCGTCAGTGAGCCCATTCTTCTGGTAGTAATTGTTGAATGCATAAGAGGCATGAGAGACTAGATTATCTGGTTCAAAACATTGCTGGCCACGCTGAAGGGCGGAACAATCCGCTTTTCCCGGGCCGCAAGCCCAATCCAATGCATTCTGCAAAGCCGATTTGGGAGCCTCACTAGAAGCAACACACCAGCTTCTTCCATTTGAATTGGTTCCTGTTCCAGAGAAGTCCAGGTGATATACAGTGGACATGTCCGGATAAAATATGCCCCAGTTTCCCTCTATTTCAGCTCCGGCCTTGTTGTTCTCATTAAACAATGAAAATATATACACGTCTAGCTCTCCCCCAGGCATGGCAGGTGTATCCAGGACATAACCAACTCCACTAGGCATGGCAGGTGTACCAGAGTCATCGGTGACATGGCGAATTAAGTTGGTGTTATAAGTCTGGGCATTTTCAATACTAGCATACTTATCTCCTCTTGAACCTTGTGTAGGCCAGCCGGTTTCTGTAACGAGAATCGATTTTCTACCACGGGACGCCAAGGAAGAATGAACAGCATTTCGACTGGCGATGGCAAAATAAACAGCATCAAGCTGAGCATCGAACATGTTGTCGTAACGTAAACCAGTATTGGGATCTTCAAAGCCTTGGGAGGATGGTTTAAACAGAGTATAATCCAAAGAAGAATCTCCAACAGCAAAATAAGGATATAGATTGACCATAAAAGGTGACTGGTTTTCATCCAGGAATTCCAACAAAGGATTCAAAACATACTCAAGACTGCTTCTAAAAGCCCCTTCAGAAGGTGGAAATGATTTGGACAAAACCCCAAAGGAGAGTGGAGTTGAAACCTTGATCCTATCTTGCAGCCCCACCTTTCTCAAAGCTGAAACAACGTTTCTCAAGGCGGCCATCACCAAGTTGGCGGCATTATCTGAGCTCTCGGTCACTTCATTACCCACAGTAATGTGGGTGATCTTCGTGGGCTGGTAGAATGGGAGGATGTTCTTTGAGAGCCAGGAATCTACGTATGACTGGGACTGAAACGCTGGCAAGTCGGAATTATGAACTCCCACCATGAATTCAACGCCGGTATTTTTAAAGGCGTTCAACACTTGGGGATCCGAATCATATATCCTGAGGTATCGAATGCTGTGCTTTGCAACCAGTTGTGCTACTTTATCAGGTGATGGAAGATTATCACCATCCCTTCCATACGCCACTCCTACTTTGTTTCCCCTACACAAATCTGAAACAAATATGGTTGAGCGAAACAAACATAATGAAATAGAAAGGAAGACAGCAAGACGTACCTAAAAGCTGAAGCAACAAAGAAACAGCAAATACAAGCTTCAAACCCATTGTTAATAAATTCTTAATAAATTAATGAGAAATAATAGGGTTCCAAGCTGCCTCTTATAGAGAAAGAACAAGGCTATTGTGCTACTACCATTAAAGTTGGTTCACACAGCACCCCCACTTCATTTTATCTTCTGTTTCAAAAAATCTATTTCATTAGAGACACATTTGGGATTCATGGTCTACTTGATTACATAATAAAATATATTAAACTCGATTCACCACAATCAATGTATCAAGACCATCAAAATCATGTATTTTTTAATTTTTTAAAGTACGTTTGAGGATAAATTTTTGGGTAAAGTACATAAATGGTCCCCCAACTATAAGGCATTGCTTTGTTGAGTCCCTTATTTATTAAAAGTCACAAAATGCCCCAGGATTATAAGATGTTGCTTTGTTGACTCCCTTGACTATTAAAAGTTATAAAATAATCGTCCGACTATTTATATGTTTCAAACTCATCTTAGACTACTGTCTAAGCTAGACGTTAATCTGCTGACTGTGATATGCTAAAATATGATCCCAAAATCGTTTGAGTTGTATTTTGTGGATCGAGTCTATGTTTACATTATGTCGTCGAGTCAATGCTTGAAACATTATGGCATCGAGCCAGTGCTTGAAAGCAACGACAGTGCCTATAGACATCATCAAAATATGGTTTTATCATATCTCAGTCAACATGTTAATGTCCAGCTTAGACAGTTGTCAACTTTTTAAAGAAAAATGATGAGTTTGGGACATATGAATATTTAGATGATCATTTTATAAATTTAATAGTCAGATGACTCAACAAAGTAACACCATATAGATAGGATAATTTTATAACTTTTTAATAATAAAGAGACTCAACATAGCAATATCTTACTGTGGGGAGAGCATATTTTACCCTAAACTTTTTATGTAGCATTCTATAATTTTGATTTGATTTTAGATTTTAAAGATGATGGTAATAGAATATTTGAAGATTTAACATTGATGATGATTTTCCAAATTCATAGATTTATTAAAATTTAGATTGCAAATCATTATATATTGACGGAAAAGACTCCGACCTAAACCCTAATAATCCCATAAGATGAGTTGAATGGATGGCAGTAAAATGATGAGTGGATAGTAAGAGACTTGGGAAGAACAATTAATTAATAGTTAATTGGGAGGCTAATTAATGATTAGGATCCGATTTTCATTCCATTCCAATTTTTTTTATAATCACTGATTTTTATTAATCGATTAATCCGGATCAGGTAGTAGAAGAAAGGACGATCATCTCAATCTTGTTTGCTCCATTTGTAAAACGTCAGGATTTCAATCCCTGACATTTACTTAAGAGACCTAATATTTCATCTCACCAAACTAACTGGTTGTCGGTACCTTTCTACATTTCTTTATTCCTCAATTTGCTTCATTACTTAACTCGCAACCCACATGATTATAACATCCATTGTATTAATTTTATATTTTGGTAGAACACAAACAGAATAAAATGTATGGGTAACGTGGAATTATCACTCCATCCCACTCCACAGGTTTATTATTGACTCTTGAGGCCACCAAATTCAAGCAAAAAGACACCATCAATCCCATGCGCACACCTCAACGATAGACGCATTTTCCATAGCCTGCACAAATAATATATGGATAAATAAACAAAGATAATGGAAAATCATGCAATCATATTGACTTACTAGGGTCCTTGTACCCAAAAAAAAAAACAAAGAAGATTGACTTACTAGGGTCCGTGTATACTTTGATCCCAGTTCCTCCGAAACTGCATGATTCATCTGTGGCCCCGTTTTTGTGGTAATAATTGTTGAATGCGTAAGAGGCATGAGAAAGTAGAGTATCTGGTTCAAAACATGGCTGGCCACGCTGAATGAGGGAACAATCCGCTTTCCCCGGACCGCAAGCCCAATCTAACGCCTTCTGTAAATCCGATGGCGGAGCCCGTGTAGAAGCAACGCACCAACTTTTTCCACTTGCTTTTCCAGGGAATTCCAGGTTATAAACAGGCTCCATGTTCGGATAAAATATGCCCCAGTTTTTCTCAATATCCGGTCCTTGCTTCAGGTTCTCATTAAACAAGGAGAAAATATACACATCTACGTCTCCATTAGGCATGGCGGGTGTACCAGACATAGTACCAACAACTTCATCGGTTGTTGTACGAGAACCAGAGCCAGAGGTAACATGACTTATCAAGTTGGTATTATAAATCCTGGCATTTTCATTAGTGGCATACCTGTCTCCTCCTGAACCTTTCGAGGGATAGCCGGTTTCCTTAACAATAATCTTCATGTCTGCGAAATTTTGATCAGCCAAGGAGAAACGTTGATTGACGATGGCGAAATGAACAGCATCTAGCTGAGCATCGAACATGTTGTCGTAACGTAAACCAGTACCGGGATCTACGTTCGCTTGGGGAGATGGCCTAAACAGAACATAATCCAAAGAAGAATCTCCAATAGCAAAATAAGGATACAGATTAATCATAAAAGGTGATCGGTTCTCGTTCAGGAATTGCAACAAAGGATTCAACAGAAACGCAAGGCTACTCTTGAAAGCCCCTTGGGAAGGTGGGTATGTTTTGGATAAAACATCGAAGGGGAGGGATGTTGAAACCTTGATCCTATCTTGCAGGTTAGACTTTCTCAATGCCGAAACCACGTTCCTCATGGCGGGCACGACCAGGCTGGCGGCGTTGCCCGGGCTTTTGGTCACTTCCGTGCCTACAGCAATGAGGGTGATCTTCGTGGCCGGGTAGTATGGGAGTATGTTATCTGAGAGCCAGGAATCTACGTACGACTGGGACTGGAACTTGGCTAAGTCGACATTCTGAACGCCCACCGTGAATTCAACGCCGGTGTTTTTAAAGGCGTTCAACACTCGGGGATCGGTGTCATAAATACTGAGGTATCGAATGTTTTGGCTTTGAACCAGTTGTGCTACTCTTTCAGGTGATGGAAGATTATTAGCATCCTTTCCATACGCAACTCCTACTTTGTTTCCCTTACTGAAACCTGCACATGGAAATTGAGCAATCACTATTTCATTTTTAATATTCTTAATTTACATGTTGAAAGCAATGAAACAAATAGCACAATGAAGATAAGAAAACGTACCTAAAAGCTGAAGCAACAAAGAAACTGCAAACACAAGCTTCAATCTTGAACCCATTCCCACAGATAATTAATCTTCTTCTCTTGCTTACCTCTTCTTATACACAAAAATCTTACTAGAATTTATTCATAGCCGCGTTAATTGATTTAACGTACCCTACATTGACCAAGGACCAAAGACAAGTCAATGTATCCTGCTAGTGCTAAGTCTGCTTCATTTTACCAGAGAAGTAGGCATCCATCAGGCATATTAATGCCTTTCACCGCCGGGAGTTTCAGATTTAATTTTCATATTTTAATAATAAATCCAAGTGTATTTCTTGGATGTATTGATTTTTTTTTTTAAGGGAGTGTTATTTGGTGTATTGATATTTACGGAAGGGAGTGTTAAACGTAGTCTTTGGCGTAATGATTTTTCAGGAAAGGAAGTGTTAACCAGTCCTTGCCCCTTGTCAGGGATGGAAGGAGACAAGTGGTGGTGGCCGCCTCTTAATAATTTAAAATTATTATATATTTAAATTTTTATGTATTTTTTATATAAAATCTATTTTTTCTCCTAAAATTTTATATTTTTAAATTTATCCCTTAAAATTTTATAAGTTTAATTTTATCCCTTACATAAAATCTTACTTTTATCTCTACCTTTACTCTTTAGTGTATTGATTTTTTTAATCATTAGGAAAGATCACATGTTTGAATTGTTTATTTTAATAATATGCTAAATTCATCTACTTGTACTGTTGTCATTACAATCATATTTAAGCAGAGTTTGGAGGCAGGCGCCATATTGGACCAGTTCTAGACTACTGGCTTTTCTTCTGAGGGGGCTGCCCTCAATAAGAGGAAACTTGAGAACCAGAGCCAACAAGAAAACAAAATTATGCAGCTTTTCAATATCTTCTTTAAAAGCTTCATTTTCCACACACAAGTGGCTCGTCCCTCAACCTCAACAACTCTCTACACTTTTTTTTTTTGTTTAAGTCTTGGTATAATATAATCCATAGCAGAAATTATTTTAGATTAAGAATTTACTAAGACTAGTTCCAAGAAAATAACTACAACTTTTGCTTAACACGAAGCACTATACTATGTATCTTAAAAGAGACCAATCTTTTTAGCCTAAATACTTGGGTTTAAAGGTTTTCATGTTGAAAGATATAAACGTAAATCTATTAAATTTCTTACTCAAATTCTAGCGTTATCTGACTTTTCTAGGTCAATGCTTATCGGAAGTCATTCCGTGGACTGCAAATTGTATAGGGTTTAAGACCCAAACCAAAACTATGGATTTTTCTCCTGTAGGACCCTTTTAATGGATCGAGTTAAAAAAAAACTGTTAAAGATGCTTTCAGACTGCTCAAGCGAGCCACCCATGTCCGGGGGCAAACCAATCGAACGGCACATGATTTTGCTAAGCTCGATTATTGTCTCACAAGAAGAAAGGAATGATTTGGTGTGCAAAACCAAGTTCAATTTAATCGCCAGTAAATTATTTTAGTTAATTGTTCAATTTTTTATCTTAAATTATATTCATTAAATCGGCTAATCGATGAACCAATTAATCGTAATATTTAATTTGGATACTTTTATTTACTTTATTTATTAAAAATATCAAATTTAATAAAAATGATAACAAATATGAAACTTAAAAATGTTGGATATTATGAAAATCGGAGTAATTTGAAGTCGAAAGGAAAAAATTATAAAGCTTGAAAGAAGTTATTGTGGACATTAATTTGGGGAGGGAAAATAAATCGACACTTAAAACCAATAAAATTAAAATATTTAAATAAATTTTAAATCTACAGCAAGTGAGAAAGGAGTTGCAAGAAGTGTAAAAATAATTAAAAAGTCAAAATTTAAGGTTTTATTTTCTTCCAAGTAATTTTTTTTATTAAACTGAAGCGAGTACTAGGCAATTTTTTTTTTAAATAACTCTAAACCATTTGACATTGAACAATCGGACTCTTAACATCTATAGTGCCCGAACCCGAGTCTTAAAGGAATAACAATTCTTTTACCACATAGATCACTCAGTTCAAATTCAATCTTAGATATCCGGATTAGTTGCACAGCCCTAGCTAGAGGGCTATCCTCAGGCAGTGCCCCAATCTCATACATGATGCTATGAACATTTGATCTATGAATTTCCATCACTTAAAAATCAAACATCAACGCAAGCAAAGGGAGAAGAACACATATTTATTGGTATAATACTAAGGGTTAGTTGCTTTTATAGGTGATGCTGGTTAATGACAAATCCCTTCAGCGGCAGCCTGCAGTTAAGTGTAATTTAAATAGGTAGATAATAACCCCTTAATTAACTAATTAAGCCTGAATTCATAAGGCACATAAACACAGCAGCACAATCAAAACTCTCCAAATAAACAAGTAATGAGATCAGAATACAAATGTCAAAGCTCAAAGTACAGATGGTAGGTTATAAAAGGCTTAGAAAGTATTATCATATCTTGTAAATGGGTGTGATTCCCAGAAGATTGAAGCATTTTCTCATAACCACGGCAGTTGCTTCACATAATAGTAGTCGACTAGTTTCATTATCTGATCCAATGACCTGCACAATTCATCAATATACCACATGCTTTCTAAGTTCCACGTTACCCCAAAACTCAATTTGTCATCAATATTTTCCTAGTTTCAAAAGTAGGGTGTGCGCGACTATAGAAAACTACTATCTTCCGAGCTAGTTAGTTCAGCCATCTTAAGGGCAGGTGATAAGCAATAACGAACTTTATGTTACCAAGAAACTATATAATTAAGATCATGGATCATACCTTGCACTCGGGGTTGCTATAAAATTTCGAGAAGATTTCAGATAAATTATAGAGGTAGTCACACAAAACATTTGGTAACAAATTTGTACACGCCTCTTCAACAACCTAAAAGCGAGAAAAAAATGTCAGACAAAATCTGGGTCAAGAAGCAACGAATACTTTGGTTTTTATAAGTTCTTACCTCAGCAAACTGTAGCAAATGAAGCCCCAAATCACGCTCATCCTTGTGCTCCAATACTAATGTCCCCTTCTGTTAAAAACAAACAAATAAATGAATAAGTTGCAGATATCAAATCTGCTACAAAAGAGTACTGCTACCAGCTTTATGAGAGCTCATAAAAATAGAGATAGTTGCCCTACACCTCAATTTTTTTTTTTTTGATAAGAAAGTAGGCCTCATTAAAAAACCATTAATGGATCACAAAGTGCTCCTTAATCAGCGGAAGGAGGAAAAGAGTGCCTTAGGATTCATTAATAACCGAAATATACATAATGTTTAAAAACAAACATAAACACTCCCTTAACAATAACCAACCCATAGACTAAATGAGCTTAATCACAATCAGTGAACTAGCCAATACCAGCCTTAGCTAAGCTATCAGCCTTAACATTGGCTGTCCTAGCAACCCATCTAATAATACCATTCAAATCTCTTAACATAGTAACAATGTCTTTCACTAAGTTTAAGTAGACACAGGGACAACGATCGTAATTCTTGACCCACTCCACAGCTATTTTACTGTCTGTTTCAACAATTAAACGTTCCTTAAACCGCTGATGAATCGAATCAAAGAAAGTTAATCCCCTCTTAACTGCCATAAGCTCAATCAACACAGGAGGACCTGGACCAGCAGCCTCTTGGAAAGAATCCATCACCGAGCCATCCTCATCTCTAAGAATGCCCCTCCATTTTTTTAGCATAAGTTCATGATTTAGAAACCCCATATGCAGGTACATTGCAAAAAAGCATATTCCACAACATCTAAAGAAACAAAACTACTGAAAGACTCGGCTCTATCTGCAAAAGGAACTGATAGTTTCTTTTTATGACAACGGATGCACACTAGCCAGGTGAAAAGGCAACTGAAAGATTCAGGAAGCTACAGCTTCGGGTTGAGTGGGAACTTACATTCATTAGTTCCTCTATGTCTTTACCAGATCTCCTGATGATTGAACATATTCGAGCATGAGCATACAGCAAATAAACAGCAGTGTTGCCCTGCCATAAAAAATTTAGAAGGCTGGAATCAGATGATAATAGTGATTGTAGTAAGAGCAACAAAAATGACATTGGTAGGAGCGGAAAATGACAATTAGCAAAATGATGAACAATTAGTTTCACAAAATATGCAGTACAAAAGCAAGAAAACTGTTTAGGCACCTTATCATTAAGCATCTGGTCAAAATTAAAAGTATAATTGGTCAATCTGTTGTTCTTCAAGTCAGCATACCTGTAATCACAATTCATGGACATCAAACAAATAACATGATACAAGAACTGCCCAGAAGATCATTGCGATAAATAACTTCATATCGTAACATTAGCTTACTTTACAGCACCATAACCAACTGCATCAGCAGTACTCTCAATCTCCTCCTCGGTCCATTCTTCCCCCTTACCTGATCAGAGCATAAAGTAAGAATTTCAGATACAAGAAGTTTGAAAAGTTGAAGGGCAACAATTTAGAAGCAAAAAGAACTTGTATTAACAAATACATCACAGATAGTCTTACAAACATAAGGGAGTTGAAAGAGCCGAGATGCATTTGTAAAAACAGAAATAAAGTTAGATATCATACCACGCTCAATTAGTGCTGCTTTACTTCGGCTCCTGGCTTCATCAAGTAGATCAACTAATCGAACTACTTCAGTGTTACGGGTTCGAAAACGCTTGCCATCTTCTCCAAGAACAAGTCCAAAACCAACATGGCTTGCTTTGGGATACGAATTGTCACCTTGAGGAAGCCACCCTGCACGTTTCGCAGCCTGAAAAAATAAAACAAAATAATTTACAATGTCATAAGTTGGAACTCTTTTCCATCCTTATAATGATATTCACAGGAATCAATTTAGTCCTAGTAAATTGACAAAGAACTAGAAGAGATGTTTCACTTCCTTAATAAAGAATTTTAAAAGGTTACACAACAACAGGATTCAGGAAAGAAATTTGAGAACATACTTTGAACACCATATCAAAATGCTGCTGTTGGCCAACATCAGTAACATATATAATCCACTCAGCTTTCTCTTCATTGAGGCGATACCTACAAATTGCAACTAAAAGGATTGATAAGAAAGCTAATTAATTCCTACCTCTAAACAGTAAACTTATCAAAACAAATTGGTCTAACAAAGTTCCAATGAAATCAACATGAAATAGGAAGAAGCAATTAATCATCTAAAGTTTACATGCTCACAAAATTTCAAACCAGCTGTCATTTTTGTAATTTTAACCAGGGTAATCTCAGACAATTCTCTTGGCAGCAATGGAAGAAAACTTACCAAAGAGCAGCCAGATCAGTTGATGCATAGTTGAAACCACCATCACTCTTCACCACAATGAGAGGTATATTAACACCTTCAATAAAGATCACACGAGCTCCCTGACTTTCCTCAACTAATCCTTGTTTAGTCAACCCCTCTATAACCCCAGGAATGTAAGGGTTATAAAAGCTCTCCCCCTGACAACAAGGAAATAGTCATAAATATGTATGGGCAGTATGGAGTTTACAAGATTGAAGATGATTATAGAAATAGACCCAAATTATAGAGAGAAATAAATCATAAAAAATGAGATTTCCAATGATCCCTGAATGTTATAGAGAGTTTTCGTATAGAGGTGCACCTGAAAATGTTTATAAGCTGATCCAAATATCAACAATACATGGTGCTTGACATTACTTACTTTTTCCTCTAAATGAACTCCAAGTCGTTGATAAACCTTATGAAATTCAGTTCGGCTTATTTCACAAATTTGTGCCCATGCCCTACGATATTTTTCTTCTCCACCCTTAAAAGAACAGAAAGAGGAATAAGGCATAAATGAATACAAGAGCATTAAGAGAAAAAACTTTCAAATACTGAATAAGATAAAATTTACCTGAAGCCGCACAACTGCCTGTTGAGCTCTCTCTTTGAACACTGGATCAGAATCAAATCTCTGCTTTGAAGCTTTGTAAAATGCCTAAGATAATTACCAAGTTAGGATTACAACAATCACTTGATTTTGATAATCAATAAGATATCAATCCATTTGTAAATTAACTAGTGGACATGATTCATCAAAATATATAGAGTATAGAAATAATAATTATAAAAATAAAAATTAAGCTTCTCAATGTCACAAAAGAAATCTATCTGTGTTTTAGTGGAGAAATTTAAGGACAAAGAAAAGAAACACTAACAATTTCTAAATTGGTTCAAACATCTACAAAGAATATGATTTATAGAAGTCTAAAATAAGTACACATATAAAATGAGCAAGTTTCAATGGTTATTCAAGAGATGCTACTTAATCAGTTACATGTTTTTAAGTAAAATCCATTAAAAGCTAGCACGCATTATGTACTTTGTTAACATCAATTCTATTAAAAGTCATAGCCCGTAAAAAAAAGTGGTTCAGTAACTATTCAATGTGTCCATGCAACCAATACTTAGTGTATTTCTGCTTAAGCTTCAAATTTAAAGGAATGTGACAGTACTCATTCACCTGTAGATCTCCAATTGCAGTTTCAGTTGCGTCTTCAAAGTTTGGAAACTTTTCAAACAGGAACTCAATCAGCATGCCGAACTGCAAGACAAATAGGATATTTAAAAAAATGGTAAAACTGGGGACACGCTGAAAAGTTATATAATCTTCTGCTTTAATATGTAGCAGAGTTCAAATTAAAAGGAAGACAAAATAAGAGCCAACATATATATGGCAGGAAACTACAATAAGATAAAAGACTACAGCCCATTTCAATTATGAACAGCAACCTAGAAGAATACAAACTTCACAATAAGATTGATGCTTCAGCCTTTTCTGAGCACAAGGAAGAATGCATGCATCTATGCAAAAACTTGGTTTTAAAAGGCGCGAGGCGCAGCCAGGCACCGAAGATGGCGCCCGCCTGGAATGAGGCGAGTCGAGATACAAAAGGAGCGTGCCTCTGGGCTTTAGGCACCGAGCGCAACACCTCTGCGCCTTTTGGATTTTTTTTAAAGATATTAATAGTAAGTATAACAAATTAAAGAAGAAAGAAGAAGATAAAAAAAAGAATTGCAGTAGTAAGAAAGGAAGAAGACGGCTGAAGAAGACGCCTTTTAAAACCAAATGCACAAATCAAAAACAAAACCAACCTGCGTACCCCAGTCACCAACATGGTTTCGTCGAAGGACTTTAACTTTGGAAAACTCAAGCATACGAGCAAGCGTGTCACCAATAATTGTAGATCTCAAGTGACCAACGTGCATTTCTTTTGCAATATTAGGGGACGAAAAGTCAACAACTGCTGTTTTAACTGGCGGCATAGGTGCCCATGAATCAATACCTTCAATTAGCATCTTTTGAATGCTCTGCCAAACAACAAAATAACCAAGCTCTCTTATAAGATCAACGCGATAGCTACAATAATCAAGCAAAATAAAGTTGAATAAAATTAAAATTACTTTGGAAGAAAATGAATGACAGGTGAACCACCTTAGCCATCCAATTCTTTGATAGTACTACATTTACAAACCCAGGACCAGCTACAGAGCATGATTCTATCATTTCAGAGTTCGGAAGATTGTTCTTGATTGCCTAACAAAAGAAACAAGGAAATGAAATGAAATAAATAAAATAATGATTATCTGTAGATTCAAAGTATGATACTGGAAACATGATGCCATGAAATCAAATCATCCCACCTCTCCAACCGCTGGGGGGCCACGGAATTGAGTACCCTTCCCTTTTATTTTAGACCAAAGGCCCATGGCATTGTTACTGCACCAAAAGAATTCCGAGGAATTAGACAAGAAAGACTATTATATACAGAAGGTTTAAATTAAGTCAAACTTCGAACTACAAATGATTTCCGTTTCATGCCATCAAAACACCTTCTACAGAAAATAGTATGTTTTTAGCAATAAAAGAACATATGTCATACCATTGGTAATCACCAAACTTGCCAGTGCAGGCAGCTATCAATGGCTCTACATCTGGCTCATTCGGAAGTGTTACTTTAAGTGAAGCTTCAAATAATTTTGCTAACTGGGCCTTCACACTCCCCATGCATTCTTCCTCTTGCTAAACAAATATTAGAATAAACTAATCAGTGCCGTTTTCAGCGGAAAATACAATTAATGGGTGAATATTCAGCTGAAAGAACATACAGTTGTCATGGTCGTTACTGACTGCATCTTGGTTGCTAAGGCAAGTCTTCTAGATACCAATCTCAAAAAATCTGTCTTGTTATGTGTTTATAAAAGAAAATAATTACCAATTAACAACGAATATCGAATTTGAAAAAAAATACCAATATACCAAAGTAAATAGCTAAAAATAGAAATTGTTCACTAAAAGAAAGTGCAAAATGCAGTCAACTGAAGTCCCAATACTACATAGACGATAGCAGTACCCAATTTAACACCTTCTTTTATGCATTGTGACAAGACATTCTGAACAAAGTTGAAAAATCTCAAAAATCATATTTAGACTTTCTTTTTACCGAACAAATAAAAAATCATATATATCTAGAAGTGATTTTATTTTCAAAAACATTAAAAAAAAGTTAAATTGAAGCTTCTATCTTAAATAAACGCCACAAAAGAAAATCCACCAACACAATAAGGGAAAACAGATTATAGAATTTTGTGTATGGAGTGTGAGAATAAGCAGAACCACTCAGAACAAAGTTGAAAGAAGTGAAACGATCTTAAAAACAAGAGAGTGGAAGAGAAAGAGGACTGACCGGAGGCGGAGGCGGCCGCTGAGATGGAAGGAGAGAAAGGGAAATGAGAGAGGCGATTGAAGGAAAGCAATGGAGAAGAAGGTGCCGGCGGGACTAAAAGGGTTAAGGATGTCAACATATCTTTTCTTTTCTCCTCTTATATTTTCAATTTTTTTCCACTTAAGCCAACCCGAAAAAGCCTTCGATTTCGCTACTTGATTCCTTCAATGCTTTTCCGTTTTAGGGTTTTCCTTGGTTGGCTATTTTTACGCGGTATTTCTTTCCCAACATTTTTTTACCAATGACATCGTGCCACGTCCTATGTTTGAAGATGGGACCCAGCGATAAATTTATTTTTAAAGAAAAATAAAAATTTGATAAACATGAGATTTAGGGTTATTGTTTATTTTAGAATGATTAAGCGTTGAATGATTCAAATACTAAATGATTTAGATGCTCTAAATAAATTAGCTCTAAATGTGACATGTTATTTGATAATGGTTTTGAATCATTCAGAATGTACTTTTGTGCTAAATCATTCAACACTATTTTACTAAATCAATTAACACTGAATCATTCAGAGATACGAAACAAACAGTTATTTGCCCCTTAACTTGATATCTCCCTATTATTTGATACTTCTGCCTTTTTCCTTAAGGGTCATAACCTTTTCCAATTTTATATTTCAAGGTGTGTGTTGCTCTGTATATATGGCCTAATACAATTTTCTTAGTACTTAAATTATATCCCAATATATGATTTAATGTTTTTACTTTTTTTACTAACGATAAGTGTATAACTTTTTTCCATTATGTTTTTAGATGTCTATATTTTTCTCGGCGTTTTTCTCGAAAAATAACATTTTTCATTTAATATTTACGATCAGGCACCATTCAGACTATATTTCATGATTTAATACCCTTTGCAGGAAGGCGCGACCCTTAAATGTGTAAAAAATTCGGGTGTTAGTTTTGTAAATATTTTTAAATGGGTGTCAAATGCGTAATTAATTTATATTATAGTGACATTTGTGTAAAAACGTCAGCATTTTGAATTGTGCACCGCTCACACCGCACGGTTCCAGATTGTGAATTGGCTGGGGTTTTAATGAAGGGGGCAGTGTGTGTAGTGGTTGAGTTTATTAGTATTTTAGTGTTACAAGTTTATTTTTTATAATAATAAATATTTTATAATTTTAAAAATTATAAATTTCATATAATTTTTAAAAATTATTGACGTTTAAAATTAATTATTTAAAAACATAAAACTTTTAATTACAATTGAGGGATCAAATGAATTATTATTCATTAATTTTTATTTTTTAACAACAGTTAATAATGTTTATTCATTTTTAATAAAATTATTTAAATTTTTGCATTAAAATTACACAATACGTATAATCTAGTATATAAAAACTTTGAGGGTAAGTATTTTAAAATATAAATAATTTTATAAAAGTTTTATAACTAGTATTTCTTTTACAAAATGATGATGATAATGATAAATATTTTATAATTTAAAAATTTATAAATTTCATATATTTTTGAAAAAATTATTGTTTTTTAAAATTAATTGTTTGAAAATATAAAAAATAGTAAAATAAACTTTTAATTACAAATGAGGGTTCAAATGAATTATTATTCAATAATTTTTTCAAAAATATATGAAATTTATAATTTTTTAAATTATAAAATGTTTATTATTATAAAAAATAAACTTGTTACACACTAAAATACTAATAAACTCAACCACTACACACACTGCCCACTTCATTAACTTGTAACAAGACTCCAACCAATTCACAACCTTGAACCGTGCTGTGTGGGGGTGTCTGCACAATTCAAAATACTGACGTTTTTACACAAATGTCACCATAATAGAAATTAATAACGTATTTGGCACCCTTTAAAAGTATTTACAAAATTAGCACCCGAGTTTTTTACACATTTGGTTAGGCACGGTTTAGGGGGCACGCCTTCCTGCAAAGAGTGTTAGATCGGGAAATATAGTCTGAACGGTGCCTGACAGGGAAATATATAGGGTTAGGGTGATATTTCAAGAGAAATGTTATTTTTCTCTTTTACACTTTTAGGTAATATCGTTATGTTTTTTAATCTTTTTAATAATAAAAATACTACTTTCAAAAAAAAAAAGAAAAAAAATCAAACCCCAACTCTGTGTCTTCTCTCCCATTCTTCACCGCGATGACGAAGGGTCATCATCAGTCGAGTTTTGTTTGGAGTAGAACGAGGAACTTAACAGTGGTGGCCGTATAACGTACGGACGGTTGTAGTTATCAAAATTTTTGGAAACCGTAACGAAAAAACTAGAAATCTAGAGACCTTTCATGGCATTTTTCACTATGATCAGCTCAATTTCACGGTGAAGGGGTTTTGATCGCGATAAGGAGACATTCTGATGGTGTCAACAGTGACGACTATGAACCGAAAATGACCGATCGGTGCGGAAGATATAAAATTTAAGGGTTTTTTTAGTTTTTTTATGAATTATAATATAGAGCTTTTTTAAATAAAATAATTTTTGAAATTTTATGTGTGATGATACCAAGCTGAGAATTCTGGGGGGTCATACACGAAATGCTTCCAGCGTAATTGACACGCGTGATCCATTATGCTCAGAGAAGCTACAGTTTTCAATGGTTTAATCAGTTTCATGTGTGATAAGTCTTCCGAAGGCATACCTTTGTACTCTTTTAGCATGGACAAACGAGCTGTGGTAGCTCCTCCAGCAGCTTCTGATACCACTTGATTGGTGCTCAAATTTAGTTTTTTAAGCAATCATTACTTGAAACTATCAATAGTTATTAAATACGAACATTAATGCTAGGCACGAATACCTTTAGTCTTTATGCCATTTGTAAGCCATAAATAAAAGCGCATTTTATCCGAATTGCACAATGGTTAGACTGTATCGGCATAACTAAATTATGCCGAGTGAAGCTCATTGAACATCTACGAAAAAGACGATGAAATCAATAACTTCCTTTCTCGTCTTAGAATATTTTTACATCATATCTACAGCACCAAAAGTTAAAAGCAAACAAGACAGTCGTGAAGATCAAAAGCTCACAGCTCATGGATGACAAGCAGTCACTGCATGTCCTTGGTTCTCAAGTTGTTCGATGAAACTTTCGGTTATATCAGCAAAGCTTACACTTCTCAAGTAAACATCAGCAATTCAGCCATGGCTTCTATCTCATTTCTTCATTTCCCAGTTCCAAGATCTTAAAGAATGAGAGCCTTTTCATCCGGTCTTTATGTGAAGAACTCTGCTGTACCAGGCTGAATGGAGGATCATATGGAATAAGTCATATTTCACGGGCTTTTTGTGCCAAAGGAAATGCTGCTGCACCAGCTTTACTCTCGCATGCATCTCCAAATACTTCTCCTCGGGGATTGAGAGTAGAATATTTCTCAAATCAGGGATATCTTTCTCCTGAACAAAAACGGCAAAGGTCTCCCAGTTCAACACCTCAAAGAATGGTGGCACATAGTTATCCGCAATGATAACCGGCACGCACTCGTAGTGAATTGATTCGACCACTCTAGGGGTATGAACTTCATAACCTCTGGCACATATGCAGTACTTGCTACTCTTCATATGCTCCCTGTACTTTTTCTTACCTTCAACATCGCGGGGCATTGGTCCAAAGATTTTCATATCAGACATTTTGTTCTGCCAATACTGCAGTAAGATTGGTCGAAGATAACCATGCATCCCTCCTGCAAAGAAAGCCAGAATGTTTCTCTCTAAAGGTGGCTTTCCTCCAAGGTTTTCCAAAGGAGCCTCCGCGGAACGTATATACGTAACTGGAAGAGTGATATCCTTTCCTATTTCAAAGCCTTTGGCTGCATTGGAATTGCAAATAACCCTAAGACAACTTCTGATGTGCTTTGTCAATTTAAGCGCCTGAAGTTTCCATGTGTCAGATCAATTAAACATCTCAGTATTTGGCTAAAGAAATCTACATAAAAATAATACCACTACCATAGAATGTTACGAGAACAATAATAATAGTATTTGGCCAGAAGGTTCGTACTTTAATTGTTGTAGTATTACGAGAATAATATGTGGATGATACAGAGATGGCATACCCAATCATGACAGGCAACAAGAAAATGATCAGCGCCTCCAGTTCTGTTCCAGAAGCTATATTTTCCAGCAATCAACTGAACATAATCCTTGAGGTATTTCTGTAAGTCCTCGACATGTTGAAAATCGGGTCCATTTAATGCACTCCTTAGCATATTCGAACTAAAGGGTAAGTAAAACAAATGAGCTCTTCTGGGGTCCCTCACAACAAACTTTTTGTTTCCTTCCATTAGTTTCATAAACCATCCTTCTGAGGCATAAATTCCCCTCGTCTTCGGCTGATGAAATATGGGCTTTGCTCCTTCCTTGTATATGTAAACTTTGAGTATTTGTACCATCATCTTATAACTCCTGCAAATAATATGCATAAAGCCATAAACAATTTAGCATATAGCTTTAAAATGGACATATTGCGAAGGCTTACCTCTCAAACTTGGATATATTCTGATAAACTGACGCATGAAGCACTGGAACCTTTCTTGAAACATGAGCATTCTCAATCTCTTGTCTTGCTGATAAAAGTTCATGATCACGAGCAGAAGATCGTCTTGGCCTCTATTTCCAACAAAGAAATAAGTGAAAAATCAAAAACCTAAACTGAAACCAGTTGCTAAATTGAGACCTCAGGAATGTGATTCTTACCAAAGAGTGGGAAGAATCAATACTTTGAAGTAATAATGAATTCATCCCGGATACAGATATGACTGATGCATTTTGCAATGGTTTAAAATTCTTATTATGTGTTTGAATAGATGTTTTGGCATTGCTTGGTGAAGATAAGTTGGCACCCAATAATGAGCCAGAAGACCCTGAACTAGGATTCGAGTTTTGCAGGCCTTCAGCATGGACTATAGCTGATATAAACGGCACAACACCATAGCCAGTGGTGGTTTTTGGATCATTGATCATCATGTCACTGTTTTTAGTTTTTTCCACCATCCCTAAGTGATTATGCATAATTTCTGCAGCCTTCACCTGAGTAGAACTATCATCTGTATGAGTAATGTAACCAGTCATCAAACTCTTACCCTGGGCTATCCTCGGCTTTGATGTCAGTTCATGGTATTGGTCAACCTCTGAAAGGGGCATGTTGGTCCTGTACCTAGCTTCTTCTTCAGGATTGAAGCCATTAGCATCATTTGCCACCACATTAACAAAGAGTTCAGCCATGTTCGAATCATTTGAAGTGGTGGCATTGCTTACCAGCTTAACTATTGAACTCTTATTAGTAGGTGATGAAGAAAACATTTTCCCATAAGAAAGTGCAGAACACTGAAAAAAGATTATGATAGAAACTGCCAACCCAATTATCAATAGTAGCTTTCTGATCTCAGCTTGAAAGAACCTCTGAGTTAAGGCAAATATACCCATGTCACTCAGTAGCAAAAATTAGAACCTTGAAACCCTCTCTCTCATAACCATTGACTGAGTCAAGAATTCAACCTAGCAAATAAAATAGAGCTTCTGTAAGACACACTCAGTCAAAGAAGCCAGTCTACAGCATGTGCAGCTCCATGAACCATAAAGAAATTGTAAAGCAAAAGAGTGAAAATCTTGCATTCAAGGGCAACGGAATTTCTACATTATGCTACAGATCAGTAGATTATCAAAGCAAGAAACGAATTGAGAAAGCACAAGAAAGAATGAACAAAGCAGAGAATAAAATGAAAAAGATTTCTTATTCTTTAATATTAAAAGTCAAAACAATGGTAATCCATAAAATGTAGCAATGAATCTGAATGTTCCATGTAATCCGAAGAAAAAGAAAGCGCCTGCGAAAAAAGATTTGAGCTTTAGTGAGAAAAAGCACCTAAGCATATCCTCCATGGTCAAGCACTCAAAGTTTCATCACTGTCGGTCTGGTTTCACTTCAGTCTTTTACTGAGGGGTAGGAGCTTCTCCTTGCCTCCTTGGGGTTGTTTATTGATGAATAATCAAAAACTACCCTCATTTACACCAAATATTACAATCAAGCCATTCCTTTCGGACTCCCTCTTCCATTTCCCTACACAGATGAGGTAAGAAATTTTGATATTCTTAACAAAAAAATGAAAAATGGCAATACGATATCGTTAAAGTCGTCTTCTTTCATGTTCAGCAATAGGACAATTCACAAAACTAATTCGTTTGTGCTTAGCTTATCCAATTTTTACTGCAATCACCGTGTCTTACTTTATGAGCAAAGATGTATTGAAACTAGCTATCTTATTTTGATGCTTGTATGGGTTTGTTTATGCTATAGAGATTTAGACACATCATTTTATATTAAAAAATAACGGTTGTCTGAACTGGACATTATAACATGTTAATTGAGATATGATGGTCGTTTGAGATAATAAGATCAGATTTTATCATATCTCAGTCAGCATGCTAACGTACAGCTGGACTGTCGTCAAAATTTTAACTATAAAGGGCGAGTTTGAAATATAGTGAATAGTCAGTAACTATTTTGTGACTTTTAATAGTCAAGAGACTCAACAAAGCAACTCTCTATAGTTAAATGATCATTTTGTTACTTTTAATAGTCAAAAGAATTTAATAAAATAATATCATATAACCAGAAAATCATTTATGTATTTTACTCATAAATTTAATATTATAATTTATTTAAAAAAATTGAAGGTTTTGCATCAATTTTTATGGAGTTTGGATTTTTCAATGTAACATATGGTTTGTTCTAATTCAGAAGATAAAACAACAATCAATGATGATCGACAATGGTGATGAGTGATGAAAGATGACGGATACTTTAACTAAATTCATATATTAAATTAATATCTTATCCAAATTTTAAGATTAATTTAAAATTTTATCTAAAATTTAAGATTAATTTAATATTTTATCTAAAATTCAAATTAAAATTAAACAATTTTTATTAACGCACCACATCAACAAATTGAATAAACAGCCCAGAGAACAAAATAAGATAAGCCAAAAACAAAGGGATTAGTAGTGTAGTTTACCCAATTAATAGATAAAAAATAGTAGGAAATTTCGAACATTTCCTCCCATTTGCCCGTTGTTCTGTGCTCTTGTCCTTGTGATGAGCAAAGGCAAGTTTGCCTATGGTTCTTTGAATCTTCTCTGTATTTATTCAGGTAAGTCTATGGCGGATCTTCATATAGTTTTAAAGTTTCGTGCTTTCTGATTAAATAAATACATAAAATAGACTTTTTATTCTTTTCACACTCTTGTATTTCCCCTGATATGTTTAGATGGTGTTAGGTGGTATGTGGCTGTGTTACGTGTTTTAGGATGAATGGTCTGTAGCGAGGATGAGCAGCGATTATTACTTGAAGGAATATACTGTGATTCGATAGAATGGAGGATGATCACGGGCTTGAGCTTAGCTTGGGTGTATCATGTGGTGCATCATCTGCAAAATCCAAGGGTAAACTTGGTAGCTCTTCGGACACCAGAGCAGAAGAAGGCGATAGAGGTGCTAAGATAGTGGATAACTTCAAAACCTTCTTTCAAGCAGGAACTGAAAAACAAGACCCCAGTGTGGGTTCTCAGAGAAGTGATCCAGTGAAGCCTTCCGAAAATTTCTTTAATGATCTTTCCAAGGACAATGGTCACGCCGAAGCTTCTATTAACTTGAACGGTAAAGGTCTCTGGGGTACCAACGGTAATAGGACAATGGTTTCGATTTTGGGATGATTATTTAAAGTGTTTGGTAGGTCCAAATCTGCTTACATTCATCAACTGCATTATATATAATTTGGCTATATCAAATCTTTGTGCAGTTATCATCGCTAATAGGTAGTGAAGGAAATATGATGAATTGGAATTTAGAAAAATTTAACATTATGATGGTTTAACAGCATGCAGCCATTAAGAACCAACCATTAAGACATTAAAATTTGACGAAGAGCCACGTTTAATATGAAGAAATTGATTACCTTGAACTTGCAATTCTAAGTTGGGAAAGCATAATGCAGTTTCCGAGTATTTATTAATAATTATCGATTACAATGATAGTTTAAGCTCCAAATGAAGCTCTTGTGATTCAGAATTCTGACTGCTGGATCCCAGTGAGTTGCTCACTTGTTCCTTGTGTTGGAAATAAAACACTCACACAAACAACTTTTATTGAAACTCAAACAAATATTACAAGAGTACTCTCACTCAAAAACAAGAACTACAACTTATTCTTATAGGACTTTGCTTCTTCACTCACTTAGAAGCTCTTAATTTTTCTTGATGCTTAAAACTAAAATGGGAAGGGGTATTTATACTACTCAAAAACAATCCTACACCACACAAATAAACTAATTTAAACTATTACAAATTCAACAAATATCTAACTCTCACCTAACTAAATTGATGTAAGCAATGACATCATTAATTAAATGATGTAAGTAATGACATCAATTTAGTTTGAGTTTGGGTTTAGGCTCCCATAATGGATCAAGTTTATGATCCAACACCCCCCCTTAAACTTGATCTCGTGACCCCTAGTAGGTTCCTTAATCTTAAGAAGTCTTCGATGGTCAGTGGCTTGGTAAAAATATCAGCAACTTGATCTTGTGACTTCACGTATTCAACTTCCACATCTTTTCTTGCAACACATTCCCTTATATAGTGGTAGCGAATATCAATGTGCTTGCTTCGATCATGGAATACTGGATTCTTCGCTAAGGCAATGGCTGACTTGTTGTCGACACAAACCTTGGTAGGCTCTTCTTGTATCAAACCTATCTCATTCAATAGATTTCTAAGCCAAATTGCATGACAAACACATGAGGTAGCAGCAACATATTCCGCTTCACAAGTGGACAATGTGACAATCGGTTGTTTCTTTGACATCCATGTGAACGCAATATCTCCCATGAAAAATACGAATCCAGTAGTGCTTCTTCGATTATCTATGTCTCCACCCCAATCACTGTCGCTATATCCAACAAGCTTGTAATAATTAGAAACTGAATAGAACAAGCCAAAGTCAATTGTACCTTTCTGATAGCGAAGAATTCTTTTTGCGGCTTTAAAATGGGTGGTTGTTGGAGATTCCATGTAGCGACTAACCAATCCAACTGCATGAAGAATATCGGGTCTCGTGCAAGTTAGATAGCGTAGACTTCCTATCAAACTTTTGAAGAATGTTGGATCTACACTTTCGCCTTCTTCATGTTTGGTCATCTTGATCCCGTATTCTGCCGGTGTGCTTATTGGCTTACAGTTCTCCATCTTGAACTTCTTCAGTATCTCCTTTGCATAGCTTTCTTGTGAAATGAAAATTCCATCCTTTTGTTGCATAACTTCAATGCCAAGGTAGTACGCCATGAGCCCCATGTCTGTCATCTCGAATTCTTTCATCATCACATCCTTGAATTCATTAAACATGCTTGGGTTGCTTCCTGTGAAGATCAAATCATCCACGTAGAGGCACACGATCAAAATATCTTCATCTTTGATCTTGATATATAGAGCATGCTCGTAGGGACATTTGTTGAAGCCATTCTCTTGGAAGTACTTGTCGATTCGGCTATTCCATGCCCTTGGTGCTTGTTTTAGCCCGTAAAGAGCCTTCTTCAACTTCAACACCTTGTCTTCATGCCCTTTGACTACATAGCCTGATGGTTGCTGAATGTAAAGTTCCTCTTCAAGAACTCCATTTAGGAAGGCGAACTTTACATCCATCTGTTGTATCTTCCACTTGTTTTGAGCTGCCAAAGAAATGATTAGTCTGATAGTCTCCAATCGAGCAACAGGAGCAAATACCTCATCATAGTCAATTCCAGCCTTTTGACTATAGCCTTTAGCAACTAGCCTCGCCTTGTGCCTTTCAATCTCTCCTTTGGCATTTTGCTTTGTTTTGTACACCCATTTGACACCTATCGCCTTATGTCCATTGGGAAGTGAGGTAAGTTCCCATGTGTCATTCTTCTCGATGGCCTTGATTTCTTCATCCATCGCATCTCTCCATTTCTTTTCTTGTACAGCTTCTTGAAAGCTCACTTGTTCACAATCGGCAAACAAACAAAATAATGTAAGATTATCTTGTCGTTCAGTTACCTCATAGAGATCTCTAAGGCTTCTTGTGCGTTGCACAACTCTTTCACTTTGACTCCCACTTGACGATGACGAAGGTGATGAGTCTCCTTGAGTGGTTGATGTTGTGAAGTGGTGGAGTTGCAAGCTCTTGTTGAGATTCATCTAGTTGTTCCCTCATTGTCTGCTCATCTTCTTCAAACTGAGGAAAGAAATTGAAGTCATCTGTATGAGAGTTAAAATCCCATTCTCCTTCTTCGTTTAAGACCACATCTCGACTAATCACAAACTTTTTATTGTTTGGATTGTACAACTTGTAGCCCTTCGAATTAGCATCATAGCCGATGAAGATAAAACTCTCGCTTTTATCATCAAGCTTCGTTCTTCTCTCGTCTTGTACGTGAACATGGGCTATACCAAGGTTCTCAAATGGATATGCCAGGCTTTCTTTCACTCCATGCTTCTTGCGGTGTCTTTCCCCATACACTTCTTGTTGGAGAGGTTCTCAAATGGGATATGCCAGGCTTTCTTTCACTCCATGCTTCTTGCGGTGTCTTTCCCCATACACTTCTTGTTGGAGATCGGTTTGTCAAGTAGACTGCACACGCTACTGCCTCCGCCCAAAATTCCTTAGGTAGTTTCTTGCTTTTGAGCGTCCTTCGTGCCATGTCGAGGATTGTTCTGTTCTTTCTTTCTGCCACACCATTTTGCTGGGGGATCTAGGAACTGTCATTGGTCGACGAATTCCATTTGCTTCACAGAACTCTTGAAACTCCCTGGAAGTAAATTCTCCACCTCGATCAGATCTCATGGCTTTGATCTTTCTACCGCTTTCTCTCTCCACTGCTGCTTTGAACTTCTTGAAGACTTCAAAAACTTCTGACTTCTGTTTCAAGAAATATACACAGGTTTTTCTTGAAAAATCATCATGGTCAGG